CGTGGCCACTCCTGACTCATCTTCTCTCCCTGCTGGAGGAGAAGCTGGCCCTGATACATGTGACTCTTCCCCCTCACTACGCTCTGGTGGAGGAGCTGGTCCTGCTCTCCCGCTGCTGCTTTGGGAGTCCCCGCTGGCCCCTTGCTTCTGGTGTGTCCCCCTGGGACCCCCTTGCCGGCCATCGGCGCCCCCCTCTGGGAATCTTCTGATTCGCTGGAGAGACTCATGGAATCTCTCGGGCCACTTTCATACTCCCCTACGCTGCCCTCAGATTCTTCGCCTTCGCTCTCCATTTCCTCTCTCCCCTGTGCCTCTGCTCCTGAGCCCCTGACAGTATCTTTTTTTGTTCAGACTGAAACATTAATCTAGATAAAATAAAAACATAGATCCATCAAAAAAGAAAGGAAAAAGAAGGGAGGAAGAAAGAGAAAGAGAGAGAGAGAGAGAGAGAGAGAGAGAAGAAAGATTAAAGAGAGAGAAAGAAAAAAAAAGTTAAGAAACCAAGGAACTTTCGATTCTTTGTCAGTCAGCATTATTCAACTCATCCACTCCAGTAAAACACCCAGGACGACCACTTTCTACAGATAACCAACGTTATCGTCAACCTTCAAACCCAAATACCATTTCTTTTTCTTTTCAACACAAAACGTCCAAGAGGTTTCCAATCTAGTAAATGTTGACAGTGACTTGATTGAACATGTCAGTTTTGCCATCTCAGCTAAGTCTAGTCGTTTTAATAACCATTCCTCCATTGTTTGTTAGCAATGAGTCTTCCCATCATGGTGCACTGGAAGGCTACTTCCTACATTATGTGCTCCTCAGAGCATTCTCCCTTCCTCTGGCTCCCATCAACTGGTATTCAAAAGTGTACTGCCTGACAGTGGAAGATGGAACACAGCTACTAGGATTAGTAGCCATCAGCAGCCCTTATCCTCCACGAATTTGTAGCCATTGCTATTACTGCTTTTATTAGCAAGGGGTGTATGCTTATCTCTATGCTTATCTCTGCCCCCTTTCCAAGATTCCTTTCTTGCATCTTGTCTGCCAGTCACCCTGCACAGTCAGGGGGAAAACAATGCTGTCCCGGGTTGTAAAGACTGCGGAGAGAATAATTGGGTGCACTCTTCCCACCTTGGATCAAATCTATGCTTCCAGGTGTCATAAGAAAGCTGCAGAGATAGCGCAGGATAGTGCGCACTCCGGAAATGATTTCTTTCAGCTTCTGCCTTCTGGAAGAAGGTACAGGGTTATAAAGACTAGGACTAGCCGCCAGTTTCTACCCAAATGTGATTTTGGTTTAAAATGCATTGTAAGGAGTCTGTATGGGAGTATATTGTATTTAAAAATGGGGTGTCAGAGTTTTTGGGGGGCTAACCAGGTTGGGATAGCAGGCTTGTTGGGTTTTGAATGTCTTATGTAGATTTTCCAATTTCGTTGTTCTGTATGGGACAATGACAATAAAGATTATCATAGATTATCATATCGTAAAAGTATAAAAAGTTTTCTTCCTGTCTCCTTATGTGCTCATTTCCATAAGGATCACCTGCGCTGCAAAAGTCTTGCGTTGCGGCCAGATACATAATGCCCCCTCAAGCTTCTGAGTGCTTCTACATCCACACATGCTCATCACTTGAAGGCCCTCACACTAACATGTGAATGGTGTCCCATGAAAAGGTATTGAGTACAAACTGAAGTTCTTTCCCTGGTGGGGAAGCTACGATGACTCATAGCGCATCTGCAAGCCAAGGTTTGTTGCTGTGGTCAGTGAACGGTGAGCATCCATGTGCAAACTGGTCCTAAGAGATGGCTTCAAATTTAATCACATCTGCTGAAAGTGGCTGAGGCAAGGTTCTTTCACTTTGCAGCTGGAATGTATTTGGCTTTGTGGAAGTGGGAGCTGGAGGAACGAAAGGAGTCCTTAAGTTTGGAACAAGGAAGGAAGTGGGAGGATTGTGTTATTTTCCTCAACTCGAAATCCCATGGGCATAGAAATCTCAGCCTCTCCTCCACAGCAGCTGAGGAAGGGAGTATCTCTTGATAGATGCCTAGTTGTGGTTAAAAGCAATGATAGGCAACCTAAAGAAATCCACGTTCGGAGCCGCCAGTTTCTTTGTTTGTCGCCGCTACTGGAGAGGCCCTAATATAATTTCATCCTTATTTCAACAATTTTGTTTGTTTGGGCAAAGGCATTTAGTCCACCAGGAAGCCATAAATCACCAAGGGGTTGTTGGCAAGGGAGCCATGCTGTTTTGAAAGAGACTGGACATACACCCCAGGAAAAAGGGGGTGCCAATAGTTTGCATTGGAGAGGGATGTTTTCACTCAAAACAAGCCTCTAGACAATGTGCAAAGAGTTCAGAATGTACTGCAGACAACGCCACTGCAAATAAATATATCTAAATGTGTTCCCAGAATAGAACAGGCACTTTTCTTGTGCTTTGAGTTGCATATACTGTGTTCTTGAATGATCCCATATTGTCAAAGGCACAAGTCCTTTGTTGTTCCCGCATTCCAAAAGGGGGGTGGGTCTGCTTTTTATGTATTCAGTTTTATTTGCTTTTATTTATTGAAATAGGTAGGCAGTGTTGCAGGATAACTGTGCTGTCCAGTTTTGCCTTCTGGATGGAGAGCATGTGTTCTCCCAGAAAGTCATTTTATTTGACACCACCTAGAAGGGACTGGGTGCTTATATGCAGCTCTCAGTGAAGACTTTTTCTGTTTGTCTCTAGGATGAAAATCAAACCGTTACAAGTAAAGTGTATTGTGGCACAGATTTCTTATGCAAGCAAAGGCCACAAAGTTTAATGGCCACAAAGTTTAATGTCATCAATGTCACCATCACTTTAGCCAACTCGTTCCTCCAAGTGTTTTAATTATTGCAAATACTGTTAAAATGTATACACACCAGAAGTGTGGTTCACACGTTTCTACCCAAGTTTCTCTTTATTTTTGTAAACTTATTTGAGTGTTATGGATTTAGTTTTATTTGAATGTTTACATCATGCTATCTCCTAACAAAGTTATGAGCCAAACTGTTGGCTAGAACGTTGCCTCTTCCCGGTCCAACCATGTATACATAGTTTAGAGAACATTTCCTGGGAACAAACTGTTTATAAAGTTCAGTTCATTGGTGCCTTGGTAAGCAAGTTTAGTTCTTAGTTATTTGTAAATAGATTTGTCGTCCAAAAATGTGTTCTCTCAGTGGGCTCTAACGGACCTTCTTGAACGATTTGCCATTTTAAAGACTTAGTTTATTTTAAAATACTTGATTTGGTCATTATCTGCTGCAGTGGCAAAGCCAGCTAAAATTGGGGTGGGGGGATGTAAATGGTACTGTTAATAAACTTCAGTGTTTAGCTCCTCCCCTTTGACCTTACCGCCTTGGGTGACCATCCTAAATATCTTCACAGAAGCTTACGAAAAGCTTGGCCTATCGCTCAACATCCAAAAAACCAAAGTGCTGCACCAACAAGCACAAAACCCCTCTGCAGCATCACAAATCCAACTCAGTGATGTAATGTTAGAAAGTGTTGATCACTTCTCCTACCTGGGCAGTTATCTTTCCACAAGGGCCAACACTGATGCGGAAATCCAGCATTGCCTGAGCTCTCCGAGTGCAGCTTTCTCCCGATTGAAGTGCAGAGTGTTTGAAGACTGGGACATTTGCAGAGAAACCAAAATGCTTGTTTATAAAGCTACTGTACTACCAACCTTACTGTATGCTTGTGAAACATGAATCACTTCTAAATGCCATCTCCAACTCCTTGAAAAAAATCCATCAGTGGTGTCTCCGAAAATTTTTACACATCACTTGGGAAGACAGGCGAACTAATGCCAGTATACTGGAAGATGCAAAGATCACCAGTGTCAAAGCAATGATTCTTCAACATCAACTTTGTTGGACTGGTCATGTTGTTCAGATGCCTTCCGTGTATTGTCTTCCAAAGCAACTACTCTATTCTGAACTTAAAAATGGAAAGCATAATGCTGGTGGTCAACAAAAGAGGTTTAAAGACTCTCTCAAGGCAAATCTTTTAAAAATGTAGTATAAACACAGACAGTTACGTAACACTGGCCTTCGAGTGCTCCTATTCGAGAACAGCCTTACCAAAGATGAAGATGCTCAAACTCAGGACGAGAGGGAGAAATGTGCTAAGAGGAAGGCATGTTTGGCAAACCCTCACTGTGATCAACTCCTGCCCTAAAGCCTATGTCTCCACTGTGGAAGGACGTGTGGATCCAGAATTGACCTTCACAGTCACTTACAGACTCACTGTTAAGACCGTGTTCATGGAAGACAATTTTACTCAGCTACAAGTGATGGAAGAAGAAGAAGAAGAAGAAGAAGAAGAAGAAGAAGAAGAAGAAGAAGAAACAGAAACCACAACCACAACAAACAACTTCTTAGATGGAGAACAGTTCAGTCTACCAGGACACTGAACTTAAGGTGGCAATCCTTAGGACCTAGGATATCAGCGTTCAAATCGCCACTTGGTCATGAAACTCACTGGGTGACTTTGGGCAAGTCACTGTCTCTTTGCCTAACCTATATCACAGGTTTGTTGTGAGGATTAAATGAGGAGGGAGAGAGCCATGTACACCACCTTGAACTACTTGGGGGGGGGAATGTAATATAAATGCAGTAAATGTGTGTTGAATGTTATTTCAATGTAGCTCTCTGAGGAAACCAAGGTCAAATCTTGTCTCTTTTCTGAAGCTCACTGAGTGATCTTGGGTCTGTCATACTATCCCTCAGCCCAGCCGACCTTACAGAGCAGTGGTGAGCATGCTGCCTTGAGTTCTTAGTAGGAAAGGTGGGGTAGAAATGTAGAAAATCCCAAAGACATTAATTTCTTCTGAAGGTACATATTAACTGCGATCTACAGGAAATTTAACCTACCAGTTCCTTTTTGCTTACAGTGGAGTAATGCCAGCTGAGCTGGAGATAATGGAATTGAACCAGATGACTTGCAATCTATCTCTATCTCTCTCTTTTTCAGCTTCCACCTGGCTGCCTCCAAGGGGCAGGCAGAATGCCTCAGGATTATGATGACTCACGGTGTGGATGTAACAGCACAAGATGGGACAGGTACTCAAACTCGGGGGGGGGGTTCCCCACCCCTTTGCTCCCCTTTGTTTTTATTGCTGTTTTTGAGCTTTCACGACACATGTAAATAGGCTTTTTTGCATGCTCTGCTTACAAATGAGCATGTGCAGATGTCTTATGCTGAATCATTTTGCCCAATGCTGTCTGCAGTACCCCCAAATCTTGTGATCTCTCCAACCTCTTCAGTTTACAGTGGTACCTCGCAAGACGAATGCCTCGCAAGACGGAAAATTCGCAAGACGAAAGGGTTTTTTGTTTTTTTAGCTGCTTCGCAAGACGATTTTCCCTATGGGCTTGCTTCGCAAGATGGAAACGTCTTACAAGTTTGTTTCCTTTTTCTTAACACCGTTAATACAGTTGCGACTTGACTTCGAGGAGCAACTCATAGAACGCGGTGTGGTAGCCTTTTTTGAGGTTTTTGAAGACTTTGGTGATTTTGAAGCTTTTCCAAAACTTTTCCGACACCGTGCTTTGCAAGACGAAAAAAATCGCAAGACGACAAAACTCACAGAACAAATTAATTTCGTCTTGCAAGGCACCACTGTATTTTGAAATGTTGGATGCTGCATCTGAGATGATAGTTCCTGCAAAGCGAGCCACCTGCTTCTGTACTGTGTCCCCCCTTCTCTGTTTTTTTGTCCCGGATTCACAGTTGTGCAGTGCACACCTTGTGGAATCGGGCACTTTTAGTTTGTTCAATACTCCACATGTATTGAAAACCCAGTGTATCATTTCATCCGCATCTGTAGACTAAGCCTAGCTGGCTTTTTGATCCAGGCAGCTGTGGAACCCCTGAAGAGCATCTTAATATCAATATGTATAGAGTTTACAGGCAAGGACTTAAGCCAACAGTTGGGAAATGGGCCATATGTGATGTCAGGTGGTGTGGTGGGCAAAGACATAGCTGCACCTAAAGGGGATTTGCAGGTACAGGCGCTCCTTCAGGTATACAGGGCCAAAGGCTGTTCAGGGCTTTAAAGGTCAGCACCAAGACTTTGAATTGTGCTTGGAAACGTTTGCAGGAACAAGACCCGCAATGTCAGGTGACTGACAAGGACTTGGCTGTCAGTTGGCTGCATGTTGTGGGGTGGAGAGGTAAGAATCCACTCTGCTGGCTGGATCCAGTTCTCCATCCTTGACTTAAGCCAAATGCAAAATCTGAAGGAGCGTCTCCACCCTCATCGTTCTACCCGGACACTGAGGTCCAGCACCGAGGGCCTTCTGGCGGTTCCCTCACTGCGAGAAGCCAAGTTACAGGGAACCAGGCAGAGGGCCTTCTCAGTAGTGGCACCCGCCCTGTGGAACGCCCTCCCACCAGATGTCAAAGAGAACAACAACTACCAGACCTTTAGAAGACATCTGAAGGCAGCCCTGTTTAGGGAAGCTTTTAATGTTTGATGTATTACAGTATTTTAATATTTTTTTGGAAGCCGCCCAGAGTGGCTGGGGAAGCCCAGCCAGATGGGTGGGGTATTATTATTATTATTATTATTATTATTATTATTACTTTGGCAAGTATATTTGCCGCAACTTTACTTGGATTTGCACTTAACTTGGGGTTGGGGTTGGGGGGAGTACCAGTATATACCCATTGTGGACAACTCTGTATTGCATCAATACGTTTAACAGGGAACAAAGCGGGTTCTTCAAGTCTGGAGAGGGACATCCTCTCGCAGTGAACCTGTTTCATGGTGTTCCAAGTCCAGAGGATCACTTCATGTATAATAGCGTGCTTCACAATTCTTGGAGTATTTGAAATCATTTCCCATTTGTGCAGGGCACAGTGCATTGCACCTTGCAGCCAAGAACAGCCACCCTGATTGTGTCAAGAGGCTCCTTCAGGTGAAGTATATTTTCTGTTTCTCTTCACTGCCACTTCTCAAGTTCTGATAAACACTAGCATGCTTCCACGTTCTCTTTTAAAGCAGCCACCTTAATAGCACATAAGAGTACAGAACAGTTGATATTTAAGGACTTCTTTGTGCCCATGATTATGAGAGGATTCTTAACCTGTGTTACCCAAATAAACAGGCATATACTGAGAACTTTTGCCCATCTAGTTCAGAATTGTCTATATGGACTGGCAACAGCTATCCAGGGTTTCGGGAAAGGGAAATTCCCAGTCCTACCTGGAAGATGCCTGGGATTGAACCTGGAATCTTTTGCATGCAAGGTAGATGTTCTTGCCACCAAGCTATGTTCCTTCCAGCCACTTTCCCCTGCACTTCAACATAATGAAAGCTAGTGGTGTAGTGTTGTGACACCAGTTCTGGAGTGTGGTTCTTGCTGTTATGATCTGGTCATTAGTGGTCAAATATGATATACACTTAATCTGTAACATCCGAGAGAATTGCTTTGGCAAATGTAAGAGCTGCAGTTGCCCAAATAAAACCCATGTTTGTTGCGGGAGGCGCTGAAATCTGCCAACTAAAAATACTTCTTGTCCAATTTGTCCATGGCTGGATTTGGTATCACCTGTTAAATGAATAATTGAGTGGTGTATCTGTGTGTGTACTCAAAATTCCTCTAGTAATCTACCTGTATGAATAGTTCCAATTATTTTTTTCCTTACCTGTTTTAGGGATCCATATGGATTAATTTAACAAACTATTATGTTTAAGGAAGGCCATTTGATTTCAATGCAAAATCAGGTGGAATACCTTTCATATAATTGCTCATATCCCCTTTTTTTTCTTTGCATATACTTGATTTTAACCAGTCAAGGACAAACTGCCCCAGACCTTGGCGATCATGAGGCCTTGATCAGCCACCAAGGAGTGTCTCCAAGACAGTTGTTGTGATCATGCAAAGACTTTCCTCCTCCTCCTCCTCCAAAACCCAAAAATCAGTTCTGAGTATTCCCTAACTCTCACAGTCATATGCGGGAGGAGGAGGAGGCAGGGAAGAAGAAATGTTTGTGTGAGCAGGACATCGTTGTTGGATACAACCCCAAATGAAACCTGGGTCCATGAACCTTCATTTTACTTTTTCTCCAGTCTTTAAAGAAGGCTCTAGGTAGCTCTCTAAATTTTCTTCATATTCCACAAAAGTATTTTTTCCCCAAATAGCAATGAACTTCAAAATGCTTTTTGCTCCATGCCTTGCTAAAAGACTCATTTTTGCCATCCTACAGTCTAAATGTCCACCAGAGAGCACTGATAGCTCTGGGAAGACAGCTTTACACTATGCAGGTAATATTTCTACTCCCTCTCTCTTTCATATTCCCATACCCCACCTTGACCTTGTTAGGTCCGCCCTACACAATCCATGCCTTCACAATGGGAGTTCCATAAGGGCAGCACAACTAGGGTCCCTGTGCAATGAGCTCCAGGCCTCTCTGTGATGAGCTATGGTCATCATTGAGATTGTAAGCAGCCTCCCCTGCCCCACTCATGCAATGGGACTTCTCCCCACCCTGTACTCACCCTACTTGTTACAGTGTTCCCCTTCCCCCGAGCAGATTTAGGAAGTGCAGTGGGGGGAGAGGAGGAAACACCCCATTGCACAAGCAGACCTCATTCTACACATGCAGCAACTTCGCAAAATCTTGCCCAGTATCTAGGCCCCAAACCCTTCAGGGCTTTTTAGGTTAATCTTATTACTTTGAATTGAGCCCAGTTAATACATAGGTAGCCAGTACAGATGCTGCAGAGCTGGTCTTGTATGACATCAGCTAGAAATACTCTTGCAGCTGCATTCTCACTAGTCAGACCTTCTTCAAGGGCAGTCTTACTTAAAGTGCATAAGAATTAAGAGTAGATGGTTGGCTCTTTCTTTCTTTCTTTCTTTCTTTCTTTCTTTCTTTCTCTCTCTCTCTCTCTCTCTCTCTCTCTCTCTCTCTCTCTCCCTCTCATACACTGCTTTTAAGGAAATTCTAGTTTGTCATTGTTGGAGACAGGATGAAGAACTATATCGGCCTTCTCCAAGCTGGTGCCCTGCAGATGTTGTAGGACTACAACCCTCATCTTCCCTGGCCATTGGCTGAGCTGCTGGATGTTGTAGTCTAAAGCACCTGCAGCCAAACTTCAGCTGGATATTGTTATATAAGGGGTGGCAGAAATGTGGTTTGGCGTGGTTTCAGCAAGGCTGGAAAAATCTCTCCAGTGGTATGGACCCTGCAGGAGTTTTGAACAACTAATCTCGCAGTTCCTTGAAGATCTAAAACAACTTATTACAGCATAGTCCGTGATAGCTTATGCCACAATAGAGTATTTAAGGTGCTATGGGATTCCTTATTGTGTTTGCTCTTGCTCTAAGTTTGCAACTCTCATTTTCTTCTTCTTTTAGCTGCTTGTGGCTGCCTTCAAGTAGCTCAGCTCCTGTGTGAACACAAGTGTCCAATTAATGTCAAAGATGTGGTATGTAATCATTATCTCATGGATAACTTAGTGGGTTAAAAAACAACAACAACCTTAAAAGCTATGCAGTGTACTTCAGTTTCTGAAACCTCGTTTTTAAATCTTCTAAGCAGGGCAGATTCCCTCTTGTCTGCAGCAAATGAGTTTCCTCTTCGTTCACTGTATTTCTTCCAGTTAGCACGCGTGACGTCTGAGTGGGAGGCCCGATCAGCACATTTACATGAGCCAGAGCACTTTGCTCGGTTGCAACATGTCTCCACATATATCATTTCCTATTCAGACATGACAGTGCTAACCAGAAACGTGCAGTGAATAAGTAGCAAAATTATCTCCCTTATAAGGTATGAACGAGCCTTTTATACTGCTCTCTGATTCTACACCAGCACTCAAAGTATGGCAGGTGTGCATGCCTAATGTTGAGCTTTTTATTACACTGTAGGAAAGGCTTGGAATCCTTGAATCGTAGAGTTAGAAGAGGGACCCCAAGGGCAATCTAGTTCAACCCCTGCAATACAGGAATCTCAGCTAAAGTAACCATGACAGATGGCCAGCCAACCTCTGCTTAGAAACCTCCAAGGAAGGAGAGTCCATAGCTTGCCGAAGAAGACCATTCCATTGTCAAACAACTCTTACTGCCAAAAAGTTCTTCCCGATGTTTTGTTGGATCTCCTTCCTTGTAGCTTGAAGCCATTGGCTTGAGCCCTACCCTCCAGAGCAGGAGAAAACAAGCTTGCTCCGTCTTCCATGTGACAGTCTTCCTGTGAGGAAAGCGAGTAACCTTGAGCTTGAGTGGAAACAGCTCAGTGGGGAGGGAGCCATATGTAGCTGGCTTCTCCCATTTCCTCCACGCACATCCCATTATGCACAAAGATTAACACTTACCAAAGTCTCATCTTAGCTTTTCTTTGGTATTTTGGTTCCTGGCCATCCCTTACTCAGTGACATTAGAGTTTTGGTTTGTTAAGTGCTTAGAATCATATACAGTGGTACCTCAGTTTAAGAACAGTCTGGTTTAAGAACGATTCGGTTTACAAACTCCACAAAACTGGAAATAGTGTCCTGGTTTGAGAACTTTACCTCGGTCTATTATAATATTTATTGAATTTCATTTTAAAAACCAAACAATTAACATTTTCACTTGTCTTCACATATATTTTGACTCTCTCGAGTCTTCGACACTCCCCCTCCCCCCCAATTGACTTCCTTACATCCTTACATAATTTCTTTAGCATTTCAATTTCCCCCTATTTACTTACTTTTATTTTTAAATATTCTTTTATAATTGTAAACAGGTTTCTACCTCTACTTAGACTGAGAACTTTACCTCGCTCTAAGAACGGAATCTGAACGGTGGAAAGGCACCGGCGGCAGGGAAAGGGTGCCTCGGTTTAAGAACAGTTTTGGTTTAAGAACGGACTTCCGGAACGGATTAAGTTCGTAAACCGAGGTACCTGAAAGCAGCAGAGGGCTTATAGGCGCTGTGTTGAGCCCATGAGTAAAGGAAGCTCAGAACTCAGCAAAGGCCATGCAGTGGGGTTTTACGTGCATTGCTGCATGGCTAGCTGTTGTCTATTGTCCCTTAGACAGCAAGATTTTGAGCACCTGTTGAAGAAGGTTGCACACCTGTTTTCACATAAGAGTTACATTCTCTGAAGTCTTTTTAAAATTTACTGAATAACTGATAGTGTTTAATCTCTTTTTTATTTTTTTAAAAAACTAGGATGGGAATATACCTTTGTTACTGGCTGTACAAAATGGCCACACCGAAGTAACCAAATACCTTCTGGAGCATGGCGCAGACATCAATTCCAGAGACAAAAATGGAAGGTACAAATAAACTTACTTAGTAGTCACAAACTTTTTCAACGTTAATCGGGTCTAAGGATCTCCTTCTAATCTTAGATCAGATTTTAGGTTCTTCACCGCTAAATATCTTACGTTGTGGTTTAGGTCCAATTAAGCTGTCACTGAACTTCTTGCTTATATTTATTAGCTTGAAAGCTAACAAAAAGCCATGCAAGAGATGACATGTTTTTCTGGTTCTTCTAAAGTCACCGATTTCTCCGTGACTTTCAGAGAAGCTGTTTTGCAGCGTTTGACATCTCGAGGCACAGCCTAATAAAGTTGTCAAAGCTGTATCCTTTTTGATGTTTTCCCCTACTTGCAAGCACTCATTATGCCTCTTCCCCATCCAGAGGCAGGTTACAGTGAGATACAAAATTCTAGACTGGGTTACACAGGCTGCTGCTAAAAAAAAAAAGCTCTTCTGGCAAAATTATGGTCAAGCAGAATTCTGTGTGGCTATATGGTCAACAGAGGATCTTGTCCGCCAGATACATCTGTCCTACAAATTCATTTTGAGTAAAGCTATCAGTAGCGGCTGGCTTTGGCATATCTCTACTGTCGGAGAAAGTATGCTTCTGAATACCAGTTGCTGGGAGCCAAAACTGGGCAGAGTGCCATTGCACTCAGGTCCTGTTTACAGGCTTCCCTTAGGCATCCGTTTTCTGGATGCTGGACTAGATGGGACTTGACCTCATCCAGCCCTTTGCAGCATGCATAAATGGCTCAACCTCTTAGGGAAAGCTTTACTGGTTCACTCTCAGGTGCCTCCCCTGACTTACAGCGATCTCTTACTGTAGATCAAGTTATAGATACGCTGTAAATTCAAGTCAGGACAAATTTTGTTGATGACACGATGACCATTACTTTCTGCAGGAGTAGCAAAGTGTCATCTTATCAGAGGAATGCCTGTCAGCTTTTTCCACTTCCTGGACTCAGCTGACTGCCCAGTCTTCTTCTGCTGCTTGAACCTGTAGGCACTCGTCTCCTGTAGGATAACAAATGAGCCACAAACTCACAACCTTCAGGGGGTGGGTTTTTTTTATTATTATTTTTGAGGAGAAAATAAATTCCCCCCCCCAAAAAATTATTCGTTTTCTCTTATAACACATAGACAAAAACACAAAAGAAAAACATTACATTCGACACAACATAAAAACTTAACAACAATAAAAACACACAAAATAAAAGAAGATTTTTTTCCTTCTTATTCCCTGGTGTATCTACATTGGTAAAAGACTTCCTCGACACCCTCCAAACTGGATTTCATCCTATTACATATTTAGCAGTTCCCAATTTCATATTTATAACATCAGTATCTTCAGGGGTTGTTATTGCTTTGCTAATCTCATGCCTGTGGCTCCTCCTTATATTCTCTGTTTGCCAACTTGCTCTAGGACGGCTCTGATGCTGGTGTGCGAAGCAGGAAACCTCAGCATTGCAGAAGTCCTCGTCCGAAAAGGTGCAGACATAAGCCTGGTGGATGCACTTGGACACAATGCCCTGCATTATGCTGCAGTCTCTGAAAATACAGGGATTCAGAATCTCCTTCAGTTGAAAATTGTTCAAGACGCTGGTATGTCTACACTTCTTAAATTATCTGGTAGGGTTCCCTATGATAAGGATAGGAACCTGTAGCCCCACCCCCCGATGATATTGGACTATGTGATCCCTAATTATAGGCCATGCTGGCTGGGGATGATGGGAGTTGGAGTCCATCAACATGTTTGGGGGCAGGCACATATTCCCCACCCCTGCTGTAGGGGTTACCTGGGGAGGCATGAGGTTCTTACTCAAACTTTCTGGTCTATGCCAGAAGACAGGATGCTGACTCATAGAATCATAGAATTGTAGAGTTGGAAGAGACCACAAGAGTCATTAATCCAACCCCCTGCAATGCAGGAATCTTCTGCCCACCATGGGGCTCAAACTCTGAGATTAAGAGTCTCATGCTTTACCAGCTGAGCTACTCTGTCCATTCTCCTAGTTTCTCTTTTAACACCCTTGGTAGAGCTTGTAGGTGGCTTGTTTGAAAGTGCCCTTGTGTCTCTCTGTGCACACAAAAAAGATTATTACATTGCGGAAAGAAGGCTAGGCTTCAAAGATGCATTGGCTTTGACTGATTAAAGGTAAAGGGACCCCTGACCATTAGGTCCAGTCGCAGATGACTCTGGGGCTGCGGCGATCATCTTGCTTTACTGGCCGAGGGAGCCAGTGTACAGCTTCTGGGTCATGTGGCCAGCATGACTAAGCCGCTTCTGGCGAACCAGAGCAGCGCATGGAAACGCCTTTTACCTTCCTGCTGGAGTGGTACCTATTTATCTACTTGCACTTTGACATGCTTTTGAACTGCTAGGTTGGCAGGAGCTGGGACCAAGCAACGGGAGCTCAACCTGTCGTGGGAAAGAAGGCTAGGCTTCAAAGATGCATTGACTTCTACTGATTAGTCCTTAGTAAATGCCCGGTTCCCAGCCTATGATCTCAAGTATTCTTATTTGCATCTGAATCCATATGAAGAAAGGGGCCTGCTTCCTAAGTAGCTGTGAGTTTAGGATCCGAATGGAAATTTCTTAAGCAGAAAGAAGATATCTCAGGTTTTCTATTAAAAGGCAATGTTTTTTTTTCCATCTACAGATTTCAAGTCACCAACAAAGCCAAAGCAGGTAAAAAGGAAAAAAGAATCAGAAATGCTTTATTACCATAATAACAATTAGCCTCAAGCTCTGAAAAAAGAAGTAAAGGATTAGAAAGTAATAATGGAAGTGATTTGGTTTGTTAAGTGATTCCAGAAGCATATGCAGTTTTAGTAAACTCATAGATAGTTCCTTTTCATTGATATCTGTATGGTATTGGTGAGATAGCTGTCTCCTCTTATCTCTAACCCAAATGTTCTCATATCCTTTGTAAGGACAGGGCAAAACTTGCTATGTTATGACATGTCTGTGATGGGAATCTCCAGCATTTCCTTAAAATAAGTTAATAGTTATGGAGCAGTTGCAAATCAGATGAGACTTGAAGTACTGGAAGGAGAAGGTTTAATGCTTTTCTGTGCACCATTTTCCTGAATATCCCCCTCCAATCCAAAGTTGCTTTGCCCATAAGGGTAAATATGCAGACATGTGTAAGGTACTTGTATGTTTTCCACCATGGGGCAATTTTGATTGGGGTGAGGGGATGGCACAGTGAAGCATTACAGCCTTCTCCCCCAGCACCATGGGCTGTTTGCTCACCAACCACTCTGTGGCTGCTATTAACACACAGCCTTGCGTCAGAGCAGCAGGTCCAATGGTAGACTAGGGTCTAATGGTAGACCTGGGAAACTGACTCGCTTTCAAAAGAAACAGGCTTCTACTGGTTTCATTTGGACATAATGTTAAACTGTGGTTTGGCATTACATGAACAATCCTTGAGCTTATGAGCAACTCCTCTCCCTTCTTCTGACACAGCCATGGGGAGCAGTTCAAAAGCCTTTGATTCCTTTTTTTAAAAAATTAATTTCAATTACTGAAATAGGACAATCTGTTGTTAACTTTAATTATGGCGTAGGGAAACAAGTCAACTTCAGCCCATCGTTTGCACAGTGCTAGCTGATCTCCCCAAAACAGGGATAAGGAACCCATAGCTCTCCAGATGGCTTACAACTCCCACCATCCCTGATCTATGGCCATGCTGGCTGTGGCTGATGGGACTTGGAGTCCAGCAACTCTATCCTTACCCTAACTCTTCTGTAAGCCATAGTTAAGATTAACCACTGCTTCTGGTTTGGTTCTAATGAGTCACTGTGGCTAACTGAAATTGGAAGCGAAAGTTTCTGATTTCATGACTGTGCCAGAGGGAATCCCACAAACCCCAAGCCAGCACATGTATTGCCAAACCATAGTTTACTGTTTCATCCAAACAAGCTCAATGTGGCCTCCTGATGCCTTGAAATAGCTGACTGAGTCGTACTGGTTTTAAGGAATTGCTTGGCAAGAGTAAGCATGAAGAAAATGGCAGAGTTGCTTCAGTGGTCATGTACAGCTTCCATAATAAGGGAGGGGAAAGGGGATGTTCATCTGAGCAGCCAGTTGGACCCAAGTGTGAATTCCCCTTTTATGGATTTCAGCAGTTACAGATGATCTGGTTGATGATCTGGGTGGCATGCAGGCAAATCAAGAAGTAGAGAAGGAAAGTGGGTTTTGCAGATGATTTTGACATTCACAGGGTGTTTATTTGTTGCAAAAAAATTAGTTTTGGGGCAGGTCTAAAAGGCCCCTAAACCAGGGACAGCGACTCCCATCATCCCTGACCTTTGGGCCATGCCTTCTGGGGCTGATGGGAGTTGTAGTCCCACATTTGGAGGGTGACAGATTCCTCGCCACTGCTCTGAGCAATTTATGAACACGAGTGACCCTGGAATAGAAGTAAACAAAAAGGAAAAGGAAAACTCTCCCTCCCTGGGGGAAAAAGAAAGGCGTTTAGGAGAAATGATTACAAATTGCTTGAGGCTGTGAAGAGCAGTGCATTTTGAGATCACTGCTCCATGGGAAAGGGTTCGCTTTATTCACTCCATCCAATGTAATGAAGCATGTTGCAAAATGGGGCATGGTGAGCTCAGGGTTGCGCATGTGCAATATCCCTGCATATAGAGGAAGTACCTTTGAATGAGTTGAGGCATGAATGTGCTTTAAAAAAACAAAAATCTCTTGTACCTTAAAAGGAAAAAAAAGAAGAACTTTTTTTTAACGCAGACCTTACTAACCAAACTAACAGACCTCCCTTTTCTGGCCTGTGACACTTCCAGCATGACCAAGTCTGTAGATTAAGTTCTGAAAGAAGTGGAACTCCAAAAAAACGCAAAGCCCCACCACCACCTCCTGTCAGTCCTATCCAGGTAAAAGAGCTCAAGTCCAACTTGAACACATTTGCAATGTCTAGACGGGGCTGGGCGGGTGAGGAATGTCCTGTCGGGAATAGAGCTGGTTAAATTTGCTTTGTGCAAATCCTTTTTTTAAAATGCGCGTCTCATGTATCATGGGCGAATTCTCATAAGGATAGAAATAGGACGGTCTGTTGTTTGAAAGCCCATCTTGGTTACGCTTTGCAGGAGGGCCGTTGGGAATATGACCAGATCCTAAGTTTAGAGCAGTGGGGCTTATAAAGGTGCTACACGCATTAAACTCTGTGACAGTCTTGCTTTTTAACAATCGGCTTTAAGATTCCCCCTGGACGGATGCAAACCAGCTTTGCACATGAGGAGCTCGTAGCGTCTTAACAAGAAGTTTAATATTAAACTGAGCCGTTGCTTGGGCGATTGTCTGACTGCATGGCTGCCGCTGGCTAAAGACAACTTCTGTGTTGTCTTGCTTGTATTGAACTAACAGAGAGCGATGACTTCTGCTAGCAAGAGGCAGTTTGTGTCTCTGAAGTGCATTCATCTTTTGCAGCTTAGCGACCTGTCCTCTCCACATTCAACAACTTCAACCCCAGTGTCTGGGAAAGGCCAGCCTTCCTTTGCTGAGCACGGATCCAAGGTATACTCCGTTTTTCAACTCTTGCTTCTGGCTAAATGTAAACCCTGTGTGTTTGTAGTGAGTTGCTTAAGGTGACAAAAAGATTTCATCAACCCAAGGAGAGCAAAGCTTCACAATTGTGACTTAAAGCTCTCCAAAGGGAAGTGTAGATGGAAATCAGTAAAACCCAGGGGGTTGTGATGTGAAATGTATTGTTGGGAGTTACGTCTTGCTTTTTTGATGTCTTCGACATCTTTCCGCTGGGCCTGTAAGACGGAGTTGTTCCGCCAGGCCTTTGGTCAGGGCTCAGCCTGACGCCCCTTCTCTTTTTGTATAAGAACTAGTGTGAAAGAGGCCTCCCAGCATTCTCACAGGCCCATATAAGAACAGCGTAAACAGTTGGGCCTGATGAACATTTACTGTTCCCAACCCTAATCCTGCGGAAAGCCATCTAATTAGATTTTAATTTGATCCTGACTTGTTTTTAGGAGGTAATTTAATTATTGTTTGATTTTTATACCAATGTTATATATTTGATGTTAGCCGTCCTGAGCCCAGTCTCAGCCGGGGAGGGTGGGATACAAATAAATGTTGTTGTTGTGTTGTTGTTGTTTATCAGCTGTGGGGAGGCAGTCAAGATTAGGGCTGCAGCACATCAGCAGGGGGAGGTTTCCCTCTTTCCCCCCATGCTATGGTCCTGACAAAAATAAAATAATAATCCTCTCCCCTAAAAGTACTGTTGTTTAATAAAAGACAATTGTGTTGCTCCCAAGTGACCCGTTTAGCATCCTGTGTTGTTAGGCTGCCAGTGGTTTTCTTGAAACCAAAGAACATACCAGTTGTTTAAGCAATAGACAGGCCTTTTGTCAGCTAGGGATGAAGAGTACCTTTTACGTCCATTTCTGGATTGGGATTAACCTGGCCACTGTAGTCCAAACATTGGTAACTATGTGGGGCTGCCCTTGGGCCTAGTCTGGAAACTCCAGCTGGTGCAGAATGTCACCACTAGACTGTTGATGGAGGCAGACAGCCAACAGCATGTGATACTTCTGCTGAAACATCTGCACTGGCTGCCCATGTCCCACCAGGCTAGTTTCAATGCCCTGAGCATCTTGGGTTCAGGATACCTATTGAAACTAATACACATGACTAACTTGGGGCCAACGGTGGGTTTACATTTGAATTCAGTTGAATACATCCCATTAAGTTCACATTTGATAGGCAATTGTATTTGCTTGCTTTTAATCAAACACCTGCCTTTTAACTATCCCAAAAGCTGGGAAAGCTGCAGCTGAGTGACAGTTCCTGACTAAAATGCATTGGCCGTTACTTCACAGGGGGACGGGATTTTGATGTGCAAGTATTTGTGCTTTTTGATGAGGAGTGCCATGTTGTTAGCCCTCTCTTTAAACAAATGTTTATGCATTTTGCATTTCAGCAGGAAGATATCAGTGCCATTCACTCTGATGGCAAGGATGGGATGAGCGATAGTACTGCAGGTATGGTGTAAGACAGATGTTTTGGCTGGACTGTCACTTTCTCCTTCCTTACTCACCCACACCAAACAACCTACCAACCAAAAGAAGGTGCCTTCTTTCATAGGAAGTTGTCATTTGGCATCATGGTCTGTTATGCTAGGATTGTAAAATTCACTGCCTCATTGTTTTTCAAGCATGCTTGGCAACATCTTGACCCACCTTGCTTTGAAATTTCCATGGAAGGAGGCTCCGCCATCTTTCTAAAAATCTACGCATAGTGTAGTATGTACAAAAGTAGCATTTTGTTTTGGACCCGGGGGTCCCGCTTGGAACTCCTGCTTAACTATTAGGGGCATTGGACCCAGCCATTCATGCACACGCTCATATTCTAACCAAGCATACAGGGTTGGTGTCAGGATCAAACATCCTGAGTTCCTTGGAAGAAGGAGGGGGTAGAAACGCCGTTTATTTAAAATATTTATGCTTGCCTTTACCAAAGGTTCCAGGCAGCTAACAATGTTAAAAACCTCCATTTAAGATCATCCCCAGCATAAACAAAACAGCAGCCAAGCAGCGCCATCCAGTGCCAGCCACCGACCCCTACCCAGCAATTTCATGCCCCAAGGTTTTCCCAAGCAGGTGGATAAATAACATCTACTTGAAAATTCATAAGTGGCTTGACACAGGTGACCTTCTCAGTGTCAAATATGTTTGTGTTTGTTTGTTTGTTTGTTTGATCAATCAATCAATCAATCAATCAATCAAAGTTTCCATATACAAGCGCCTCCACAATCAGGTGCACATCTCTGGAGGTATTATTGGCTGTTCTGGTCTGAATCTGATTTCCCAGGCTAACTTCCATTGTCCATGGGATTTTCACCATAGAAATCTCAAGACCTAGAGTGACACAGCTGTGAGCCTGTAGCTCATTCTCTGCAAGAGATCCTTTTCAGTAGCAACCGTTGGGCAGGGAGGGAGAAGGGGGAGCCCCACCCACGGCCAGCGTGTAACCCATAACAGAATACCACAAGAGAATGGGAAAAGGTTCTCCATCCCTAGTCCAATAGTTAACTTGAAAATTTGCAGGCTGGTTCACAAAAAGAGAGAGTAGCAAGTAGAGACATTCCTTTGCTTTCTTTTTCGCCGCCCCCCCCCCCACTTCCCTTCCACTTCCAGATTTGCTTAACTATGTGTTGACTGAAAGCCTAGAATGATAAATTGTATTGTATTCCCTCTCCTCCCCCCTTCCGTTTCGCTTTTGAAAGGTGCTGATAGTTTATTGGATGTAAGTTCAGAAACAGACCAGCAAGACTTGCTTTTACTGTTACAAGCAAAAATTGCATCTTTGACCTTGCATAATAAGAAACTGCAAGAAAAATTACAGGTATGTATTAGCAGCATTCATGGCACTGAACAATAACACATGGGGGGCATGTTTGCAGAAGGCTCCAGCTCATGCAGATCTCCTCCATGTAGACATGCCCCAATTATTTTTATTTATTAAATTTGTATGCCGCCCTTCTTCTGTAGATCTCAGGGCAGTTCACAGCATAAAATGCATGCCTGACAGCCCTACTTTCTCTCCGTACAGTGTTCATGTTAATTGCATGGAGAAAAGAATACCCAAAGAGGGCTTTGCTTGAAAGATGAAGGAGGAGGGTTTGGAATTCATTATATGACATTAGAATTAAATCTGCGATATTTGAAAGATGCAAGTGTTCTCCTGGAAATCGATGCATGCATGCAATCTTATTTCGTTCTGTTAATGTGTTCCTGTTGCAGCCCTCTCTATTTCTCGAATCTCTGCAAAAAGGATAAGTTATTATGAGAAAAGACAATAAGAGTTTACAAAAAAAAAGTAGTTGTTTAAATACTGCCATCTGCTGTCTCTACAGGCACGCGCACTCAAGACAGAAGACCTGGATGCAACACTGGATTCTTCTCGTTCCACCTGTGCGGAGTTTGATCACTCAACGGACAGGCTAAGTGAGAGCTCGGCAGCAGCGGCTCAGGAGATCAGCTGCTCTTCGCTGAGCTTAGCACAAGCTCAGGAAGAGGCGAGCAGTAACGAAGTGAAAATCAGACAGCTGCAAGACAACTTAAAGGAGGTGCAAAAAAGGCTGGACAGCTCAGAAGCGAAGAGGCGGCATTTGGAGACGCAGCTTCAGTCCGGAACACTGGATACCCTTTGCTTGCTGAACAGCTCTGACATTTCCGAAAACGGCTCCGACCTCAACCAGAAACTGAGAGAAACCCAAAGCAAGTACGAAGAAGCGATGAAGGAAGTCCTGCACGTCCAGAGGCAGATGAAGCTAGGCCTGGTGGCTTCCGAAAGCAAAGAGGCGGACCTGCAGGAGCTCAGAGCCACGTGCGAGGAAGTCGAGGCGCTGAAGGAAGAACTGCAGAAGGCGCAAGAAGAGGGCGAGAGGCTCCGAGCGAAAGTGAGAGAGCTGGAGGAGAAGCTGGCGGAGAGAGAGAGGGCTGCGGCCGGCACGATGTCAGCAGAAGAATGCGAGGAGATGAGGAGCTCCTATTGCTTGGTTATTGAGAACATCAACCAGGAGAAGGCGCTTCTGATTGAGAGGTACAAGGAGGGACAGGAGGAGATCAGGAAGCTCCAAGAGAAGCTGAGATGCCAGATGGAGTCTGGGCAAGGTGAGGAAGCCGAGGAGGTGAGAGATGCAAAGAACCAAATGATCACCGAGTTGAACAGGCAGGTCAGCAAGCTCTCCCACCTGTACAAAGAAGCCCAGGCGGAACTTGAAGATTGCAAGAAAAGAGGTGTTGCAGAGGATGCCGATTCAGGATGCATCCCTCTGGAGGAACACGAGAAGCTGATAGAGGTCACCGTCTTGCAGAGAGAGCAAGCCGAGGGCGCCCTGTTGGAAATGAAGGCCCAGTATGCAAAAGTGTTGAGCGAAGCAACCCAGCTCCAGAACCTGGTTGATTCACAGAAGAAGAACTCTGTCTCCATAACGGAGCATCTCCAGGTGGTGACTTCTCTCAGGGCTTCGCTGAAGGAAATGGAAGAAGAAATCGGCGAGCTCAAAATGCAGATTCTGCACAAGGAAGGTGAGGTGCAGCGACTGCAGAGGGAGCTCTTGGAAGAAGAAGCCGCTGTGTGCGAAGCTATGGTGCCCAGGGCATTGTATGAAGAGCTGCGATCTACTTCAGAGGGAGAAGTCAACTCCATGCTGTCCAAAGTGAAGGACTTGACAAAAGAGAGAGAAAACCTGTCTGCGGATCTTGCTCATTTGAGGAAGGAAATCTCACAAGTGAAAGGGGAGAAAGAGAGCCTCCGGACTCTCCTGGAAGCCAAGGAACAGGAAGTCAAAAGACTGCTTCATCAGTACCATCAAGCTCAAGAAGAGCTGCTTGAAATGAAAAAGGCCTCTGAGAATTCCTCGAAACTAGAAGAGGATAAAGATAGGAAGGTTGGTAGATCCTCAGTCTTTTTGGGGGTGGGGTTGAGCACATTTGGAACAATAAGAAAATGTTGTAGATCAAAAACAGTTGCCATGCAGAGGTATGCCCACTCATACCTGTGGTGCTGTGTAGTTGGTCACAAAGCACCCTATTCACAGAAGGCAAACTGAGGCTAAAAGACTGAAACCCACGAACCTGAGTAAAAGGCAAAATATTCAGTGTGGAGTAGACTCATTGAAGTCAGTGGGCTTAATTCCCTTGATTTCAAGGGATCTACTCCAAGCATATAGGGACGCGGGTGGCGCTGTGGGTTAAACCACAGAGCCTAGGACTTGCCGATCAGAAGGTCAGTGGTTCGAATCCCCGCGAGGGGGTGAGCTCCTGTTGCTCGGTCCCTGCTCCTGCCAACCTAGCAGTTCAAAAGCACGTCAAAGTGCAAGTAGATCAATAGGTACCACTCCAGCGGGAAGGTAAACGGCGTTTCCGTGTGCTGCTCTGGTTCATCAGAAGCGGCTTAGTCATGCTGGCCACATGACCCGGAAGCTGTATGCTGGCTCCCTTGGCTAATAAAGCGAGATGAGCGCCGCAACCCCAGAGTCGGTCACGACTGGACCTAATGGTCAGGGGTCCCTTTACCTTTACCAACTCCAAGCATGAGTTGTTCTCACCAGTGTCTCCTTAAGCATGCCTTCTGGCAGTTTCACTGCATGTTTGAAATCATTTCCCAGGGTTGAAGCCACAAACAAACCTGTGGTTGGCATTAAGTAAGATCTCTCAGCCAAATGCTTTTGGGAAGTTGTGTTTTCTTCCATCCTTTAGCATGCTGTCCCCTGTTCTTTCCTCCCATACCAGATAATGGACATGACAAAGGAAGTTAGTAAATTGAAGGAAGCACTGAACAGCCTGTCCCAACTTTCCTACTCAACTGGCACACCCAAGAGACAAAGCCAACAGCTGGAGCTATTGCAACAACAAGTCAAGCAACTACAGAACCAGCTGACTGTAAGTTTATAGATTATGTAATTGTGCAACTAAGTAGCTCTCTGCACCTGCCAAGGTTTGACAGGAGACGGGAGAGTGGGTGTTCTCTATATTTTTAGTCGTTCAAAGTGATGCAGAGGTTTCACCCTCGTTGTATCCCCACCCTCCAAAAAAATAATCAGTTGTGAGGAGCTTGCATGTAGAATTTTTGGAGTGCTTTTCTGAGAATGTAGGCCCATTATAGCAATGTAAATTGAGTATGAGTGCACAGTAGACCCTGATTGCTATATCTGCAGTAGAATGTGGTGGTCTTTCATGGCACGAGTGCCAGATTCCATAAGGTTTCTGTGTTCTCTGAGCAACCAGCATATTCTAAGCTTATTTGTTCATTGCATTTATATCCCACCCTTTTCTCCAAGGAGCTCAAGGTGGCACACATGGTACCCCGCCCCGTCCTGCCTCCTCATTTAATCCACACAACACCCCTGTGAGGTAGGTCAGGCTGAGAGGCCGTGATTGACCCAAGGTCTCCCCAGTGAGCTTCATAGCTGAGTGGGGATTTGAACCATGGCCTCGCAAGCCCTAGTCCAACACTCGTAACCACTGCATAACAGTGTTTCTCAAGCTTGGGTCCCCAGCTGCTGTTGGACTACAACTCCCATCATCCCTAGTTAGCAGGACCAGTGGACAGGGATGATGGGAGTTGTAGTCCAACAACAGCTGGGTACCCCAGTTTGAGAAACACCGAACAACATCTAGGACATAAAGCCTCCGCCCCACCCTGGCCCCCAATCTAACTGAAACAACTTGCAACAGAAGTATTGAGTTGCTGCCGCCACTGCAGTTTCCTTCTCTAGTGCTGAGTTCCTGCCTTGATATCAACTTGGTGGATTAGAGGTGAGGAAATCATACCAGGAGTGCATGGGGTCCATATGTAGAGTTTGCTCTAGAGAGGCAATGTGGTGTCATGGTGCTGGACTAAGACTTGGGAGACCCAGTTTCAGAGAAGGCAGCCATGAAGTTCGCTTAGTGAGGATGGGCCAGAAATGCTCAGTCAGCCCAGTCTACTTGCAAAGGTAAAAAGAGAGCTGACCTTGTACATGACCTTGAGCTCCTTGGAGGAAAGTGGGGGGAAAGTATAGTAAATAGATATATAGAGTGATCAAACTATTTATGTATGTATGTATGTGTTTGTTTGTTTGTTTGTTTGTTTGTTTGTTTGCTGCCTATCTGACTGGGTTGCCCCAGGCACTCTGGGCGGCTTCCACAGTATAAAACCACAGTAAAACAGCAAACATAAAAAACTTCCCCATACAGGGCTGCCTTCTGATGTTTTCTAAAAGTCAGATAGTTGCTTATTTCCTTGACAACTGATGGGAGGGCGTTCCACAGGGCAGGCACCAGAAGGCCCTGGTGGATCTCAGTGTCTGGGCTGAACAATGAGGGGTGCAGACATTCCTTCAGGTATACTGGGCCAAAGCCCTGTATTATGTTGTAGTATTATGTGATATCCCTTAGATGGGGATGTTTTGCAACAGAGGAGTGGAATGGGATGGATGGAGCTGCTTCACCTTCCACTTTCCCTTAGAAACGTCTAGCACCATTGCTTAAGTAAGTTTGGAACCCTTTGTAGGAGCAGAGCGTAGCTGTGGCAGCCTTTGAAAACCTGGTACCCTCCAGATGCATTGAACTAAAACTCCCATCAACACATCTGTGCTTGTTACTGTTTATGGGATTTGTATTCTAAAACACCAAGCCTAAGGGAATCTTCAGAAGGGGTAACAGCTGTACCATTTGCAATAGAGAAGGGACCATAGAGCTATCACCACACAAAGTATATTTTATCCCACCAGTTTGGACGCAAATGTTTGCCACCACTTGAACTGCTGCGAATCAACGCTGTGTTCTGGATTACAGCAACCAGCACCCCCTTGCCCTAAAACTAACCCCCCACTCCTTTAACAATGCAGTGTGTGATAAGAGTACTTGCGTGTTCACTCTCTACCTTTGTTTACAGGAAACAAAGAAGCAACACCAGGAGATAGTCTCTGTTTACAGGACACATCTGCTGTATGCTGTGCAGGTAAGAGAGCCTTCTTCAGGAATTTCCCTTGCCTGCTTAAAGAACTCAGTAGATTATATCTGTATATTACTAAAACAAATGGGTAGTGTGTGCATACACTACAGCCAGTGCAACCTCTTAAAGGCATTCCCTCCGGTGTGAGGGAGGGTGTCTTGTAACATGGCACATGTCACGAGCACCTCTTAAAGTCATCCTTTCCCAGCCTGCTCCCCCACCCCCAATGTTTTGAACAGGCCGCTAATATATTTTTACCCTCTGTTTCTTTCTAGGGCCAAATGGATGAGGACGTCCAAAAAGTGCTCAAACAGATCTTAACAATGTGCAAGAGCCAATCGCAAAAGAAAAGTGAAACGATTTTTGCCGATCCCTAATGGTGCTGCTCTAGAGATTGAGACTCGCCTTAAAATGAGATTTGATTGGCACCCCCCCCCAACCCCAGGAGGGAGCTGTCACATGTCTCTGCCACTCTTATTTCTTTATTTTTATGTATTATGAGCTAATGTGTTGTCATGTCTTCCCCTTGCCCCCAACCTAAAGTTCCCAGAGTGCTATTTTTGTGTATTGGAACAGAAACGTACAACTCTCTGTAAATTGCCATTACTTTAAATCAGGGGTGGTCAAAGTCTGACCTACAGTATTAGAAAGTGGCTCAGTGCTTCCTTTGGTGCAAGCCGTTGGAAGTCTCGGCTTGCAGTGTTGCATTTTGGATATGAATAAGTGCATCTTCTGGAGTGGATTTTTCAGTTCTTGGTTATCTAAAGAGGGGAAAACAAACCAGTTCATAGGTTTTAAGACCCTCCAACGTCCAGGATAACAGTAGATGCAACTCGGATTTTGAAATTCCTTTGGCCTTGTTAATTGAAAGGTGTGGCAGGGGGTGCCTCCTTGATAAGGCAGGGCCCACAGCCTGTACATACTACATGACCAGTGATGTGTACTAACTCGATAACGTAAAGCATAAACTTGCAGGTTAATGAATTTTGAAGACGGCTAATTCTGCTAAAACCCCAGTTTCTTTATCAAACAGTAGGTCAAGTTATCTATGCAAATCCTTGCAGTGCTATTGGCTATGGAGCTCAGGAGGAAGAAAACGCAGCGTTCCAAACTACAAACAAGGGATCCGAATGAACTCATGATGTTTACAGTGAGCGCTGTTGTCTCACGGTTCCTAACCTCACTTTTGTAAAAGATCTCCTCTACAATATATTTTTACTGGCCCTCAAATTTAGAAATGTCTTTTTGTAATTAAAGCCATTTGCCTATTTAACACTACTACTACTTTCTGTTTTTCTGCAGTAGCCTTTAATACCAAACGATTTAGGCGGTGGCCTTTTTCTCCGTCTCTCTCCCCATTCGCCCAGCTGTTGTAAAATGCAGCAGAGGTATCCCAATCCCCTGGGGAAAGGCTCTGTTGAAGCAGAACTGCCCAAATACTGTACAAAAGAGGAATTACTAGCTTTCTTGCCAAATGTTGTAACACCAAGAAGCACAGAGAAGCCTTGCGTTTTTCATTTTCAAGAGCAGTAACATCTGTATGACATAGGAGTGCTCCTGCAAATTGCTTTCATGCCTGCAAATCCTTTAGCAGAAAAAGATAACAGTTATAACTCTGTATGTGATATACACTCAGGTATGGATAGAATGGGTCCAGCAATAGAGTGTGTGTCTCTCTTGATTTGATTTTTTTTTTAAATATAGTGTGTGATTATCCTATTTCACCAGCCATTTTCACACCAGATTTATGTTGTAAACTGCTTTCAAAACCAGGCTTAAACCAGCATGACTGCTTTGACATCTCGCAGCCTACCATGAGAATTGCAGCTTTCTGGGGGATTTTGTTGTTGTTGGAGACCTGCACATAAATAGCCAGGTGCGATAGCAGTTTTTCAGGTTTTAAATCAGTTTGCAAGAGCACTCCTATAAGAATCAGGGGGGCCTTCTTTAAAGCCTTCAAGAAGAATTGGGAATACCATACATGTGCTGCAACAGCAGTTTTGTGTGTCGAGAGAGACCCAGAAGCCTAAGCAACTTACATTGTACCTAAAGGGAATAACCATTTTGATTGTCAATGTGTCTTCAACTTACAGCATGGTATTACTCCTATCGTCTGCTGCAGAAATTCCCAGAGCTCTTCAATAAGTGAAGTCTATAGGTAGGCAATTTACTCAGTGCCTGAGGGACTACCACATTTATCATGTGCTAAATTAGCCTTCCCTGGGGCTACAGGTGTGGTTGGACTACAATTCCCATCATCCACGATCCTTGCCATATTAGCTGTGGATAATGAGGGTTGTAGTCTTCTAGCACCTAGGGACTCAAGGCTGCATTAAATAGTAGCCTACCATTTTATACAGCAGCCAAATTTAAATGGATTAAGAACATAGGATCTCCTGGGTCTTTATATTATTAATATTATTATTATTTGAATCTCCTTGGTTTAACTAATACCTATTAATTTGGACAATATTTCATAGTTAGATACCTTTTTTTAAACGTTCCAAAGAAATGTGAAAGTTTTGCTGCAGTACTTACAAAAATAAAAATAACAGGTCTAAAATATGCCAAGAAATGCTGCCAAGTACAAAACTTGAGGAACCGTTTTGTAGGTTGCCTGACAAAAACCTTAGCTTTTACCTTGTTTTGTTATGTGTATTTATTACAATTATCATTGTGGAACATTGGAAATTGTACACTATAGCTTAGTGATTGTCCTTTGTATGTAATTTTACAAACGTTTCATTCCGCAAATAAACAGTTTCTTTTTTTCTTTTTTTAAAATCAGCCTCCTATTGTTGTCTAATACGCTTGTACTAGCAGCCTTGTACTCAGTTTTGTTCAGGAATTCTAAGAAACCAAAAAAAAAAAATTCAAAATCTGCAGTTTTGAAAGATTCAGTCCACCATCTGAACTCAATGTCCAATTATATCCAACCATAGATGAAAAACTGCTCCTTGATGTCAGAAACCGTTAAGAGGTGTCCGAATGCATAGCAAACAGACATACCACGTTCCAAAATATATCGGCGATAGGGACATTGTAGTGAACCCAAGGGAAGAAACTCAAGTATTTAAAGAACATAAGAAGAACATATCTGTCAAGTGTCCCTTATTTGAAGGGACAGTCCCTTATTCGAGCGCCATGTCCCGCTGCTGTCCCTTATTGATGGATGTCCCTTAAATGTCCCTTAAATGATGTCCCTTAAATTTCAAAGGAAGCAGCTCCTCTCCCTCCCTCCCTGCCGGCCAGGGAGGAGGGAGGCTCCAACTGTGATGCTTGCCTGTGTTGCTCACCCAATAAGAAGTCTAAGAACGACTGGGAGGTGGAGCTTGCATGCCTTGTGTGTGGCTAGTTAATGCAAGCTGAGGAGTTTTTTGAATGCTGGACGCCATTTTGTTGCACGTGCTTGCTGCAAACTTTGCAGTGGAAAGCCAGGCCGGGGAGCCATCTTAAGTGGAGGCTGCATAGGCCTTGTGGTGCATGTGATTCAGATTCTATTCAGTTGAACCTCTGGTTACAAAGTTGGTTGGACAGTGTTCTTGAAGCTACCAGCATAAGTTTGACCAGACTGCAGGAGGACAGGAAGACTGGACTGCCTGGAACAGGTGAGGCTGCAGGTCCCTTATTTTGGCTGCTGGTCCCTTATTTTCAAATCTGTAAGTTGACAGCTATGAAGAAGAACATGATGGATCAGGGCAATGGCCCACCTGACCCATCATCCTGTTATCACAGTGGTAAGCTAGATGCCCATGGGAAGCCTGCAACCTGAACACAACACCTCTCGCCCCTTCTGCAGCTTCCAGCAGTGGGTGTTCAGAAGCACACTCCCTCTGACAGTGGGGAGAGAACATAGCCTTATCTTCCATGAATTTTGTCGAATCCTCTTTGAAAGCCACCCAAGTTGGTGGCCATTTTTGCCTCTAGTGGGAGCAAATTGCATAGTGTGTGCTGTATGAGGAAGCACTTTCTTTTGCCTGTCTTAAATCCACCATCTTCACTGGAAGGCCATGTGAGAGGGAGAAAAACTTCCTTTCTACTTTCTTCATGCCATGCATTATTTTATTGACCTCTGTCAGGTCTCCTCTTAACTTTTCTCCAAACAATAAGCCTCAAATCTTGTAACCTTTCTCCACTCCCTTGACAATTTTGGTTGCCCGTTTCTGAACCTTTTTCTAGCTCAACGATATCCTCTTTGATGTGAGGCGACCAGAACTAGGCACACTATTCCAAGTGCAGTTGCTCCATGGATTTGTAGAACGACGCTACGTGATAATCAGCAGTTTTGTTTTTAAATTTCTTCCCGAGGGATTGCTAGCCTGGAACTGGCCTTTTCAAAGCTGTTGCTTTGAAGAGGCCATTCCTTGGGTTCTCTTTGCACACCCAGCCTTCTGAAGCAGTCCTGGTGTAAGTGTGCAATGTACCTGGGGTGAATGCTAGGGCCCACCACTGACAATCACAACTCCCACAGCTCAGCTGGGCTACAGGGAGGATTAGGGCAGGAGGTTGGGTGCCACAATGGTGTGTAGAGTGGAGTCGAGCCCCTATAGGGCACACTTAAATCACCAGCACCACACTGGCCCCTCCCCTGAAATGGAGGGGGGCATAATTAAAATGGGAAATGGAGTTGGATAAAATGGCTATGCTGTGGTGATTCAGGGGTTGAATCTGAAATCAAGCTTAGATGTAAGCTTGTTGGTGTCTCTGGTATCTTCTCTCACATTGTGGATGTTGGCTTTTGTGGTGGATGCATGCTCTATATTATTTAATTAATTAATACTATTGTCACAAGTTTGTCATGCAGTAGAGCAAAGAACTTTGATAACTAAGATGGCAGCCCCAGTGAGCTTAGATGCCACTCTGTGCTGCTCATCACCTTTGGGGAGACCATAAGTGTTATGTATTCAATATTTAATAATTAATTAATATTTTATTTGATATTGATATTAATCTATTTAATAATAAGGGACTTAGATGGCAGCCCAGTGGCAACACTGAGCAAAATTACAGTCTCACGGGCCTGTATTGCTGGCGCCATTAGACCTTGTCATAAGCACATCTGGGGCACAGCAGTATAATTAAAATGGCGGCACCTGTGAGTACAGGCCCTGCACATATAGATGCAGAAGTCTGCTTGATGCCAAGCAAGCAGCCTGCTCACCAACTACAGACTTTACACACTAGCTTTCCTGTCCAGTGTGGATGTGTATACACACAGAGATTAGATGGGGGGGTGTATACATACACACACAAACACACACATACTTTTGAGCTGTAAAACAGAATAGGACATTCCCAGGTGGTTTCACAATCAATTCCCCTTCCTTGGGAACTCTGGGAATTGTAGGCCTGTGAGGAGAATAAGGGTCTCCTCACAACTCTCAGCACCCTTAATGAATTACAGTTCCCAAGATTATTTGGGGAAGGCCATGGCTTTTTAAAAAGTGGTATTATACTGACCCAAACGTTCAGGTGTGAATGTGGTAAAGTGTTGGGACTGTAGAATCTGGGCCTGGACTTCAGCTCACCCACAAAGCTCACTAGAGCTGCTGCATTGAGATGTGGGGTTTGTTGTTAAGTTTTCCTGGTAATAACGCTGGCACTTCTGCCTTGATTTCTAAAGCTTTCTTTTACACTGCAGTGCCTGTTACATTACAGAGCTGTGGCCATTTAGAATTTTAAATTGTGGAAAAGAACTGTGTGCCCCAATGTTTGTCACCATGAAATTACAATGCAACACTCGAACACAAAACTTTCTGAGCTAATAGGATTGCAAACACATTTGCTTTCTGGAAACAACACTCAAATTCATGCTAAATTTCCACTAAGTCCCACCAGGTTTCCAGAAGTGCCTTTTATGTCCTGTGAGAGATCCCACAACACAGAGAAAAGATCAGGTAAGGAAACATGAGGATAACAGGACAAGGTGCAGTCTGAATGCAGCCCAGAGCAGGTGCACAATCTGACTCTCAACCTTTGAGGATTTAAATGTGGAGAGTGGGCCTGCAGCATTTTAATTATCAGCCTCCTAAAACCCCTCAGTTGTTACTGAGCTTTCCATCCTGGTGAAAAAAAGAAAAATGGCTCCATCTAAAGGCCAAAGGTGGTTTTTCAGTCACTGGGGCAACACACTGTCGCCCTAGTAACAGCTTGGGGAGAGACACTGCTTTCACACACAGACAAAACAATCCCTTACAGAAAAGAAACTAAGGTCTCCACCCAAAAGAACCTGATTCCTAATGCCATATTTCTATGTGTGGTTAATGTAAACCTGCGAGGCAAAATCAAGTGCAGGGTGGGAAAGTTCCTTTCCACTGAGTTCCAGATCCACTGCCTTGTTCTGAGGTAGGCAATGGCTCTCGGCTAGCTGATACCTTTGCTGCCGTGAACCATTTTAGATTTATTTTGTTTCACTTTTCAGCTCCGAGGGTATCACAAAAACCCTTTAGACCTGTGATGTATTTAGTCGGGCGTATTTTAGGGGGGAGGAAGGTGAGGGGGAAAAGCAAAGCTGAGAAGGGAGAATTGGAGGTTTGGAGAGAGAGAGAAATAACAGTGTACATAATGTCACGCCACAGCCTGCCTGTTTGTTAAAAGCAGCTTTACCTCAAAGCTACACAACTCCCTCATTCGCAAGTCATCGCCCTTGCGCGCAATGCAAACTGTGGAGTCAGTTTCACACGGCAGGCTGTGAACAGCTCCAGCAATTTCCACCGTGCCATTGCTAACTGCAAAATAATAGTAATAGTAATAATAATACATATTAGGGACATAGCTGTCAACCTTCCCCCTTTTTTTTGCAGAAAATGCCTATTCCAGCACCGTTCCCGCTGCTTCCCACTTCTATCCCGGATTATTAGATATCCCCTAGACTGTCCCCGGGACAGGTGAGGCTGCTGATCCCTTATTTTCGAGGCTGCTGGTCCCTTATTTTCAAATCTGAAAGTTGACAGCTATGATTAGGGAGGGGTTTTGTCATCTGGGCAGCCCAAGTCCTCCATACACGCTGCCCAAGCTGGTGTCTAGGGAAGTAATTTCAGTGCTGCTAATGCAGCAAAAACAATATGGGATGCAGCAACTATGAGTTACCAGTCTCTGCAGCCACAGCAGGCGCTGTGATTCTCCAGTGGTTTGACTTCCCCCTTGGAAATGTACTCCATTGTCTCTCAAGACAGACAGATGCCAACAACAGATTAGAACACACCTCTCAATCACCAGGTGAAAAAATTGCCAAATATAGCAAATTTTTACTGCTTGCCTAAATCCTGGTTCTGTGTTTTAATGGTAACCAAGGAAGGGAATTATTATTATTGCTGATACTGGTTTTACAACCCAGGTCAGCAGCCAGTTCTGTTTTCTGTAGGGCCCTTTATAAAATGTAGGTATCTACTGCATGATAAGCTCTCCCTAAGAGACAAGCCTCATGATCACAGCCATCCTTGAGTGCCAGCCATGGGTCCAAGGCAGTGCTCCACCCCCCAAGAGGGCCAGGTTTGATCCCAAGGCTGCCAGCTGCTGACACCTGCTTTATAACCTTTTAAAACTCAAAGGAAAAGCTGTGCTCAGATGAAATGAGCAGCGACCGTGAAGAAAATGAAATGTGGTCCGAGCTGCTGGCTACACCAGCAACCAAGTTAATGCAAGCGCAAGAAAGGGCAGAAAGGTTTGCCGAAGAAAAAGAGGTAATCTTATCCTTTTGTTTCCTTTCATGCCTGAATACTATTGGAAATTCATGGGTGTATATAGGATTAATGGTGGCGGATTGGGTGACCTGAAGATAGCCACAATCTCTCAGTCTAACCGACCTCACCGGCTTGTTGGGGGGATAAAAGAAAGAGAGGGGAGAATCCTGTATGCTGACCTGAGCTGCTTAGAAGGAAGGGTAGGATGAACCTGCAATATATGGACACGAAAGCAGGCTTCAGGTGCTCCAGAGATTTAACTCTGTGTGTGCTTGATGCTATAACGTTATATCTGTATCCAGTGCTTTTTTTCTAAGAAAAAGTGTTTAGGGGTACTCTAATTTACCTGCTCATATTGAAATACTGCCCCTCAATGAGGCCAAACTTAGATTCACAAAATGTTTAGGGGTATGCGTTCCCCGCGTCCCGTCCCCCCAGAAAAAAGCACTGTCTGTATCTATATATATATTTTTAGCTTACTTTGCCAAAACTTTATTTGGCGTTACAAATATAGGCCATCATAAAACATCCATATATAAAAAATTAAAATATATACAAATAATAAAGGTAAAGGTACCCCTGCCCGTACAGGCCAGTCTTGACAGACTCTAGGGTTGTGCGCTCATCTCACTCTAGAGGCCGGGAGCCAGCGCTGTCCGGAGACACTTCCGGGTCACGTGGCCAGCGTGACAAGCTGCATCTGGCGAGCCAGCGCAGCACATGGAACGCTGTTTACCTTCCCGCTAGTAAGCGGTCCCTATTTATCTACTTGCACCCGAAGGTGCTTTCGAACTGCTAGGTTGGCAGGCGCTGGGATCGAACGACGGGAGCGCACCCCGCCACGGGGATTCGAACTGCCGACCTTTCGATCGGCAAGCCCTAGGCGCTGAGGCTTTTAACCCACAGCGCCACCCGCGTCCCATATACAAATAAACAGCCATGTCAAATATGTAATAACCCTGCCAAGGGTTATCTGGCATCTGTAAAGAAGGGAAACACAAAGTCAGAGAAGCTGCCTTTTCTAGGTCTGTATGTTTGTCCATCTAGCCCAGTGTTTCCTGCTCCAGGGGTTCCCTCTCCGCCAGATGCTGCTGGACTACAACTCCCATCATCTCCCTTTACTATTGGCCATGCTGGCAGGGGCTGATGGAAGTTGTAATCCAGCAGCGTTTGGGGGAGGGGGGTGGCAGTCATGCGTTCCCCAGCCCTAGGCTACTCCAAGCAGCAGTGGCTTTCTAGGGCAGGGAGGACTGAATGTGGCCCTTAGGCCCCTATATGTGGCCTCCAGGACTCTTCCCAGACACACCCCTTCTCCTCAGGCCATGCCCCTCACCAGTTCTCCTTTGCACCCACCTTGAGTGAGTGCATGGCTACAGAATGTCCTTGAACTCTGATAAAGCTCCTTGATTGCCTGGATGGAGGGTAGAGAAGGAAGTGTGAGTGTGCATAACTATTACAGTACAAATGCAATAGTTATTTATTTCATAAAATTTATATGCCAGGGAAAAAGTTGATTGCTTTATCTTTTACAAAAAATATAAAGTGATCAAATTATAACTACCAGTATTTTTTTATTCACAATTTTTATTTTAAAGCATACAGTACAGAAAGTTAAAACCGCAGTAGAACAGACTACAGCAAGTTAAAACTCATACAAACTTTCTAAATGACTGGGTGGGATTGTCTAAATAAGAACGTCTTCAGCAGGCGCTGAAAAGAAGGTGCCTGCCGGATATCAATAGGCAGGGAGTTCCAAAGTGTCGGTGCTGCTGTACTAAACGATCACGTACTTATAGAGGCAGTGTGGGCATGTTGTAGCACTTGTAAAATACTAATATTCTTTGCTCTGCCCACTTTTGCCTCTGGCCTTGCCTACAGCGCCATGTGGCCACTGGAACATGTGCCTAGAAGAAAAAGTGGACCTCAAGTTGAAAAAGGTTTCATCCTCCCTGCTTTATGGCCTCTGGCACAGTTATTTTACCTCACCAGCTACCTGATTATTATTATTGTTGTTGTTGTTGTTGTTGTTGTTGTTGTTGTTATATTTATTTAACTGGAGATGCCAGGGAATGGCCCTGAGATGCAGAAGCAAGAATCAGGCATATTGGAAAATTTCTACCTTTTGTACAGCAAATCTTGTGTGTGTGTTTTCTCCAGGCACATAAAGCCTGCAGGGAACTGGTTCAATGTACAGCTCTGGCGAGAATTGTCTATGGAAATGGGCACTGGAAGTTGGCAGAGGCTCTCGCTAATCTTGCTCATGGTTACCTTACCCTTCAAGGTAAAAAAGCTAGTATGTAATAATGATAAGATACACGTCAGTTTGGGTAAGGAAAACAGTAAGGATATACAAGATTTTCTGGCACAACCACTTAAGGATGCAATGAATGGAATACTAAACACGGGGAAATTGCCAGAATCTTGGAAAGAGGCATACATTACACTGATTCCGAAACAGGATACAGACGTATTTTTTGGATACAGTGGAGGACTGGAAAATTAGGAGGATTTATAGTATGCAGTTGAAAAGGTTAACTAAAGAACCCGTGGTGGGGAGAAGGGAAGTCTAGAGATTTGGGAGTATCTTGTGTAATTTTTATTATTTGTGATTTTGAGTGTGAATGAATTTGTAAAATCAAATGAAAATAATTTTCCAAAAAAAGGGAAAACACTGAGGATATGATTCCAACTGCTGGTCACTTAATTATTTCATCACAAACTACAGAAGGATGGCTGTGTTGATCTGCTGCTGCAAAAGCAACAAGGAGTCTTTAACATGTCAAGAGACTAACAGACTTCTTGTGGCACAGTAAGAGCAGAAGAGTCTTCTGGATCAGGCCCATGGGACATCTAGTCTAGTGGCCATGCAGATACCTATGGGAATAACCTGAGTGCAAAAGCACTCTCCCCTCCTGTGGTTTCCAGCAACTGGTGGTGGTGTAGTGGTTAAGAGTGGTAGCCTCGTAATCTGGGGAACCGGGTTCGTGTCTCCGCTCCTCCACATGCAGCTGCTGGGTGACCTTGGGCTAGTCACACTTCTGTGAAGTCTCTCAGCCTCACTCACCTCACAGAGTGTTTGTTGTGGGGGAGGAAGGGAAAGGAGAATGTTAGCCGCTTTGAGACTCCTTAGGGTAGTGATAAAGCGGGATATCAAATCCAAACTCTTCTTCTTCATCATTATTCTGCCCCTTCTGACAGTGGAGATGGAACACAGCCATTGAGACTAGTAGCTTTGGATAGCCTTATCCTCAATGAATTTGCCTAATCCTCTTTTGAAGCCATTCAGGTTGGCAGCAGCACCTCCTATAGTTCAGCTACACTCTGTGTGAAGAAGGTCACACTTCTGACGGTCACGAACCTTTTAACATTCATCTTCAATGGATGCCCATAAGTTTCAGGGTCATGAGCAACGGATAACAACTTTTCATAATAAATCAGGCAGTCTTTAAGGTGCCACAAGACGCTTTGCCACTTTCACAACAAAGTGCAAATTTGCAGCTAGAGGATCCAGCCCTTCTGTCTGTCACCCTCCTCATCTACCACTTTGCTTTATCCATCCATTCATTCATTTCATAAAATTTGTACACCGCTGGATTGTAATAGTAACCTCAAAGCAGTTTACAAAAAAAAGAGGTTTTGAAGGAGCTGATACAGTGGTACCTCAGGTTACATACGCTTCAGTTACATACGCTTCAGGTTACAGACTCCACTAACCCAGAAATATTGCTTCAGGTTAAGAACTTTGCTTCAGGATGAGAACAGAAATCGTGCTCCGGCGGCGCAGCAGCAGCAGGAGGCCCCATTAGCTAAAGTGGTGCTTCAGGTTAAGAACAGTTTCAGGTTAAGTAGGGGCCTCTGGAACGAATTAAGTACTTAACCCGAGGTACCACTGTACGTGTATTCATAGGACAATGAGATGATCTGCCTCCAAGGGGAGATGGGATCACAGTTTTAGTCATCATGGAGCACTCATTTTGCAGCTGCTGTTCTTTTCTTCAATTTTTATGACTGATAGTTGATATCATTGATCATTTCTTGGTGAAGACAGAGTTGGAAATGTGCATTTATTCATCATTCTCAATTTAGGGCTTGCATCGGCATGTTTTCCTTTCTTCCCATATATAAATTTTCAGTTGCAGCTGCATACACAATGGCACAAAAGCTTTTAGCAACCAGTTTCTTTTCTCAAGTTCATTAATTGTTTGCGGTGGGGATAGGGCAGCTGTGGCCATTCAGACATCATCAAACTATAACTCCCACAAACCTGAATGGAACTACACAACATCTAGGTTCTCTGTCCCTGGTTTATGAGAACATTTTTGCTTGAAGTGTTTGTATGTAGTGAACATGTCATTCTATGTGGTTAAAGTCATCTTATTATTTCCCCCAGGTCTTCCCATTCAGGCTTTGCACCATGCAAATGCAGCCAAATGCACCATATTTGCAGGTGGAGGCGCCCCTCCAGCATCCTCAGACGAAAAAGGAGAGTTTCTGAGCACGCTTGTGACAATCTACTATACTTTGGGTGCATCTTATTTGATGCAGAAAAAATATCCTTGCAATGCAGTGATCAGAACAGGGGGATTCAGAGGCAAAATACCAAAGCAACTCTGTTCAGCTATGAAGCTCACCAGAAGTGCATAGAAAAGTCAGCCTCTCGGTCTACCTTGCAAGGTTGCTGTGAGACTAAAACGCTGCTATGAGCACCTTATAAGAAGGGAGAGATACAAATGAGGCATATTAAGTTTACCAAATAAATAGTAATCTCTTTTTAAAAATCCCCTCCGATCTTTGTGTTCATACACTGTCACCGCAGTCCAACATGGGTGCAGGTTTTCATACACCCATTCCTTGCTGGAGTCAAGAGGGTGCAGCATATGTAGAGGCTGAGACTGGATCAGTGCAACTGGCAAGTAAGGCTGTATGATGGGAGACCTGATTTAGGGACATGGGTGGCGCTGTGGGTTAAACCACAGAGCCTAGGACTTGCCGATCAGAAGGTTGGCGGTTCAAATCCCCGCGACGGGGTGAGCTCCCGTTGCTCGGTCCCTGCTCCTGCCAACCTAGCAGTTCGAAAGCACATCAAAGTGCAAGTAGATAAATAGGTACCGCTCGTGCGGGAAGGTAGATGGTGTTTCTGTGCGCTGCTCTGGTTCGCCAGAAGCGGCTTAGTCATGCTGGCCACATGATCCGGACAAATTTGTCTGCGGACAAATGCCGGCTCCCTCGGCCAATAAAGCGAGATGAGCACCGCAACCACAGAGTCCGTCACGACTGGACCTAAAGGTCAGGGGTCCCTTTACCCTTCACCTTTACTAGCTATGTGGCCAGCAAGCGGGGAATGAATGTGGCAGACATTCTTCTGACCAAGCACCATTGAAACCAACCAGAGCTGTGCAAGAGCACATTGTTGCTCCTGTGCAGCTGCCATGTATTTGAATGGGGCTTGGGCCTCATGTCAGTTATTAGGAATGGGTGACACTTAGTTTTTCTACTTCAGGCACCACAGTGTCTGGTGCCAGCTCTCTGGGTGCTCACAAGAAGCACATCACCCAGAGTTCATTGCCAGCATCCATGAAGTCAACCCAACTGGCATTTGTGATGAACACGTAGCCGTTCAGGGCCCTGCAATGTGTAGAGCTAGCTTAGTCTCTGGGTTTCTTGAATAGGGCTGCCAGTAGAGATCAGCAACCGCCTTGTCCCATGGTTCATCACTACCCAAGCAGAAAAATGCCCAACTCCAGGTAAGGTAACTGATGATACTCTCACCCACCTGTCATATTTGGCCCACATGCCTAGGATCTGATAAGAATCTGCCCTGCAGAGCCAAAAAGGTTCTCTGCTCCTGTTCCAGGCAATATTGCAGCTTTTTTGTGTTGATTTTAATGGATTAAAAAGAACAAATCTTGAGTAGCCTCATTGCTTTTCCTTGACTTTTCTACTGGCAAAGAATCCTACTGCAATCTGCAGAAAGCTGAAAGGATTATGGAAGAACTGAGAGGGATGGATTGTAGAGGGACCCAGACTCCTGAACTTAAAGTATCTGAGAGAGAGCTTCTTGCAGCACTGGGCAGGTAAACAAAAGACCAATGGCCTGATAAGGGTACAGCTATTTACTGAACGACTTAAATCACATATCTAGGCTGCAATCCTATACTTAGTTACAGGGTAGCAAGTTCTCTTGAACTCAGAGGGCATGTGTTTGGCATTGCACTGCTAATGAATGTGCATGTGTGCTGGGACTCCTCTTCACTCCCTAGATGGGGAAGTTCCTGCCATCTAAAGGGCTTTGCAGTCTTATATGCGGCTTCTTGCAGTCAAGAATCCAGGTCTTGTGCCCAGGCCAAAATCCAGACTTTGCCCCCACATGTCTACCCATGAAGGCACCAACCTGATCTTTTAGCAGCAAGTGTTTGGGGAGAGCAGTGGCACCTCTTTTAGATGGTAACACGCATGCATGTGCAAGTTGTACACTGCCGTCTGGTGGTCAGCACTATTATTGCTGCTACCTATTGGTGCTTTTCAGTGATAGAATTTGCCACTAGAAAACTGCTTTCCAAGAGTAGAAAGTTGTATTCTGAGAGCAGAATTTGATTCATACCCTCAAGTACAAAGAAAGTCAGATATTGTTACATCTATTATACAGTTGTTTTTAAATTGTGTTTTTGTTATTTTTGTACCTCTTACTGATATTCCTTTTTAAAATTGCTTTTTTATGAAAAGCGGTATACAAGAACACTAAACAAACAAATATTTTATATTTTCACTTTTTAAAAAATATGGACTTTTAGATCTAATTACTCTGTTCTGCCTTCTAGGGCAAGTTTGCAGCAAAACAAGTTAGAGTTGGCAGCCAGGCATTTTGAGAAGGCAATTGATGCTGTAATTTCAGCCGAAGGAGAGATGTCTCCAGAACTGATAAACCTCTATCAGAAGATAGCCCAAACTGAGCAAGCAAAGGGAAACCATGAAAAATCCATGGGGTATTTGTTACAGGCAAGGAACCTCATAACAGTCCAGCATGTAAACTGAGTTTGTGGTTTTGACTTTATAGAGCTACCAGGTGACATGTGTATTAAACCTCAATCTTATACCCAATTTGCTGGGAGTAAGCAAAGGCTTACCTTTATTTTTATTTTTTTATTTAATAAGATTTATGTATTGCTTAATCCTCAAAACCTCTCAGTGGTTTACAAAATACAGTGGTACCTCGGGTTACAGATGCTTCAGGTTACAGACTCCGCTAACCCAGAAATAGTACCTCGGGTTAAGAACTTTGCTTCAGGATGAGAACAGAAATCGTGCTCTGGCGGCAGTGGGAGGCCCCATTGGCTAAAGTGGTGTGTCAGGTTAAGAACAGTTTCAGGTTAAGAACGGACCTCCAAAAGGAATTAAGTTCTTAACCCGAGGTACCACTGTATAAGGTGTACATTAATTTGAGAAGACAAGTAAAGGGTTGTGCTGTAAAAACTACTATTGCACCATCATATTCATATATTTATAATAATCCCCTCTGTTATTGACAGCATCTGGCTCAAGTTCTGCTTGAGGGTTTCCCACAAGCACCACTGGTTGGCCACTGTGAGGATGCTGGACTAAATGGCCCATTGGCCTGATCCTGCAGGCTCTTCTTATGGATGCAGGTTACCCAAATGGGGCTCAGCATCCAAACACTTCCAATCTCTTACCCTGCAGATACCCTGCAATTACCTTATGGCAGTTCTCTGCAACCTGGTGCCCTCCAGGTGTTTTGGACTGCAATTCCCACCATCCTTGACCATTGGCCATGCTTGCTGGGGCTGATGGGAGTTGGAGTCCAAATCACCTGGAAGGCAACAGGTTGGGGAAGACTGCTTTGAGATCATGGGACCACTTTAGCTGTCATGGTCGGCCGTTGGAAATACTGTCTGCTTTCAAACAGAGTAATTCTGTGATTGCAAAGTGGCAAGAATTCTCTATTTTATTTATTCTTGGCTTTATCGCTTACAGTAAACAGCAACTTAGTGCTTGCATGTCTGAAGGTTAAATGAACAAATATTGAATGAATGCCTGAACGAATGTTGTACACGGAAATGCTACAGTGATGCTTTCATTTTCGTGCATGTGCTGGTCCTTACATTTCCAAGCACTAGAAAAGGTTTGCTTTGGGGGAGGGGATAAGCTGCTGACAACGCTGGATTTGATGGCATGGCTACCAGTGCCATACTCTCTTTATTTTTATTTATTTATTATTATATTTATATCCCACCTCTCCTCTAAGGCATACATGATTCTCCCTCACTCCATGTTATCCTCTCAAAAATCTTTCTGGGAAGGTCAGATTGAAATACAGTGACAACCCCAACTGAGCTTCATGGCTAGGGTTGCCGTACTCACAGAAGTGAAAATCTGGACAAAGTTGTTAAAAACAAACAAACCACCCTGTTTGCCATACGTACAGGATTTCCTGTGTCCAGGAAAATCGGAATGTATGGCAGCCCTATTCATGGCTTAGTGGAGATTTGAATCCTGGTCTTCCAGATTCTAGCCAAACATTCTAACCACTACACCACACTGCCTCTAGAGTACTAGAGTCATAATTAGACAACTTTGCATACTGAGCAAAGTTCAGGAGTGGTTTTCCAGGGTTTTTTGTTGGCTTGCAGTAAACGGCTTGCCTCTTATGTGGGGCTGCATTCACAGGAGGAGTTCGTGCTCTCCACCCCTAGCTATGCTATTGGGAGAGATACAGAGCATGGGCTAGATCTGGGACCCTCAGTTTAGGATTGTGAGTAGGACTATAGGCTCTTAGAGGATTTGGCTGCCAGGTATTTCAGGGCGCTAATGAACTTGTTCGTCCAGAGCTCCAGAGAGCACAGCTGCTATGATGTGAACACACCGTGTCCATCTCTTCCTGGCAGGCCCACTCCATGTCACTAGCTCTGTACAAGAAATCCAGTGCGGAAGTTGCCTCAACAGCATGGTTACTGGGGAAGGCTTATGCTGCAACTGGAGAAGAAAAACATGCAGGTAAGGCACTGGGATGGATATGTAAGTTCTTTCCTTTGCAATGCATGTTGCATATCACTTTATGCCATTTCAACTTCCATGTTGCCAAGGAATCCTGGGAACTGTAGCTCAGTGAGATGCCAAGAATTCTGCTTCAGAACGTGCCTTCTAGCAATTCATAAAACAGGATTTGTAACAAGTAGTGACAGGTGGTTATTGCTTTCAGGCCCTTGTTTGTGGGCTTCCCAGAGGTTGTCGTTGTTGAAAGCAGGGTTGATCTTATGTTCTTATCTATGATGCTCCTTTTCCAACCCCACTGCCATCAAGAGCTGCCTTGTACTAGAGACCAATTCATCACCCAGTCCACAGCTGCCTTTTCTAGCAAGAGGACAGATGGTTTGGACTCTGGACAATGATTTTTCAGCCTCAACTGAGAATGCATTTTTCTTCACTTACTTCACCCGTGTCCTAAACCAGCTCTTCTGCCTTTAGGAACCCTCTTCTTCACTCTACTGAGTGGGACCCTGGACGTTAGACCTTCCTGCCCCCCTCTTTCCCAAATCTCCTATTTGGATTAATTTAACTAGGGTTGACAAGAATTTAATCCAGCTCCTTCAGTCCACAAAGCATATTCTCTACCACTGAGAGTTGGAACTCCTCTTATGCTGATAAGCTGTTTTACGGCTCATGCTGAATTTAGTTTGCTGCTGCTTAGGAGATAAGAAATAACCCAACATATATACCCTCAAGTTCTTTTAATAGCTTGAAACAGCTCCCTGAGCTGGTTCTTAAATGGTTAGTCCTTTAGGATGATTGAACCGAGATGGAACAAATCATACACTTATTCATTAAAAAGGTGCATTTCACTTGATGGGAACATGTACAGTGGTGCCTCGCAAGACAAAATTAATCCGTTCCGCGAGTCTCTTCGTCTTGCGGTTTTTTCGTCTTGCGAAGCACGGCTATTAGCGGCTTAGCGGCTATTAACGGCTTAGCGGCTATTAACGGCTTAGCGGCTTTAAGAAAAAGGAAACAAACTCGCAAGAACTCGCAAGACGTTTCGTCTTGCGAAGCAAGCCCATAGGGAAATTCGTCTTGCGGAACGACTCAAAAAACGGAAAACCCTTTCGTCTAGCAAGTTTTTCGTCTTGCGAGGCATTCGTCTTGCGGGGCACCACTGTACTAAGAACCAGAGAGACTCCATTTTGTCTCTAATAGGCATTAGCTCAAATCAAGACAGGCATAACATTAGCCTTCTCTGTAACTTTTCTACCTCAAAATAGCACTACAATGAATAGGTGGGAAACTGACAAAAAGCTGCTAACATCCTGACACATCTTGTACAAATTTAGATCTTGCCCTTTGCACCTCTCCCAAACTAAGCTAAAACTGACAAGAAGTCCCGTCATCCCTTAACCTGTTTACTAAGAAGCTGTAACCGCTGGCTTTGCAAGATGAGAGGAGACCAAAAAAAGTAGTAGATTGCCACAGGATTGCTTACACTAAATGCTGATTGCCAATAGACTCATTGTGTGTATTAACCCATGTAATTAAACTGTATAAAATGTTGGAGCACGCTGTGAAAAGACGTGCAGGATCTGGAACTTGATTCTCCTGTACCTTCTTACTGTAGTCTGAATAAATCCTCTTTCACCTCCCTGGTGTGATTATTGACTCATCACCCCAGCACTGGACTTTTGTCCGTAACATCATCATCATCATCATAATTTATTATTATTTCTACCCTGCCCATCTGGCTGGGCTTCCCCAGCCACTCTGGGCGGCTTCCAACGAAGATTAAAAATACATTAAAATGTCACACATTAAAACATATTATACTGTTCGTTTTTCTAGAGGCTGCTGAAATGTACTTCCGTGAGAGTCTTGAGGCCTACAAGTCAGCACTGGGGACGAACCATTCTCGGACAATCAGTGCCCTGGAAGACTTCAGTAAATGGCTTGGGCGAGTAGGGAAAAGAAAGGTAACAGCAGTTCCAATGGGACACAGGCGTAAGCCTTTCAGCTGAGAAAGAGCACATAAGGGTGGGTGTGTTCAGCTGATACCATTTCCAGCTTGCAGGGGAGTGTGGATTGCCTAGACCACGGATGGGAAACCTGTGTCCCTCCAGATATTGTTCAGCCTGAAACTCCCATCATCCCTGGTGCTATCAGCTATTCTAGCTGGGTCTCATTGGAGTCCAGCGATTTCTGGAGTGACACCGTTTCTCTATCTAGGGTGGCCACTTACGTATTGCTAGAGAAGAGGAAACACACCAACAGTAAAAGAGGACATCGATTTACATAAAAATAGCATGTTTATTCATTTATTTCATAAAATTTATACACCGCTTGGTTCTAAAAAGCCTCAAAGGGCTTTACAAAAAGAGATGGTAATTTATGGGTGAAAATTTAGAAATAACTGCTATAAATCAATTAGGAAAAAAAACTACTTTTCACCACAATGGGGTATCTAGGTATCTGCAAACTCCAGGCCCCTCATGCTCTCCCTTCTTTATGTTTGAACTAGACAGCCCTTCAAATAGTCCTGTCCATCCTATCCTCATCTCTGCCTGCTACTTTCCTGGTGCCAAGTAGGGACAGCGTGGGATTTTCTGATGCCTGAAGTTAATTGAAATGTTGCACTGCTGCCTTTTTGGCTGATAACAAACTTATTTTAGGTGTCTATGGGGTGGCAAGATACATTCCACAGACATCTCTCCCTTTTCGGGGTTTGTTTGTATGTGTGAGAGAGAGCATAGATGGGAACAAGGCAGAGCAGAATGTAAGGCAGCAAATGTTAGCCAAAGTTTTAGTACCTAGTTGTTTTGTATTGCCGTTACAGCTTGATCTCGCGTATAAATCTGGTTTTAAGTCATTCAGCACTATGACAGTATAAGGTCCTCGTGTCTTTATAGATCAGTCCATCTTATAATAAAACCAAAGCTTGTCTCATAAGAAAATAGAACCAACAGTGCAATCCTATACTTGTTTACTCAGTCACATTGTTCAGTGGTGGTAACTGGGTAAAGGACTGCAGCCTTGCTGAATTTCTATTGCTGAGATCCAGGGCTGAATTTCCAGATCATTTTAAGTTGGTTCAGAAATGGGTGTTATTTCATTAAGGAAATGGAAACACTTTCTTCTTAACACTGTGTGGTGTGTGTGTGTGTGTGTGCGCGCGCGCACCCCTAACACAATATGGCACTGCCAAGAGATAATTGATATATTCTTGTTATATAGCAATTAAGACATTGCAATGGATTCTTTTTCTTATTCAGCAAGCCTACGACTTACTCAAACAGTCATTTATATCTCAGCCTGATCCCTGCAGTGATTTTAATGAACAAGCAATTGAAAGATTGTATATTATGGGCTGCATCTGCCTAGCAGAGATGAAGATAAGGGAGGCCTTTCAGCTGCTCAGTAAGGTAATCAATTACCATGTTTTTGTGCAATCACGCTGCAAGTTTAAATGAAGGCAGCTCTTTTTCTATTAAAAAAAGGATGAAAATTCCCTATAGAAGGTAGATACTATATTTTCAAGGGCTAGGGCCCAAACAATTAAAATGATCACCTAAGTAAGCCTCCCAGAACTGGGTGCTTTCTAGCTGTTGTTGGACTACAACTCCTATCACCCATGACCACTGGCCAGTTCTGGCTTAGATTTTTGGAGTCCAATGACATTTGGAAGCCCCAAGTTGGGGAAGGCTGTCCATAAACCCTTACATAGGAACCAACTGATTTCTGAGATTCCATCACTACCCTGATCATCACAGATTCTGGGCTGGGCAATGGAACCCAATGGAACTGATACATTGCCCAGTTACTGAACAGCTGCTAAAGAGCTATGAATATATTTTTTGGTTGTGGGGGGGAATCTGTTGTAAAGCAGGTATGGGGAACCTGTGACCCTCCAGATATAGTTGGGCTCCAACTCCCATCAGACCCAGCCGGCATAGCCAATGGTCAGAGATGGTGGGAGTTACAGTTCAGCAACAGCTGGAGCACCATAAGTTCCCCATTCATGTTGTAAAATTCCAGGGCCCAAGCCTGCGCCTAGGTTCTAATGTTCAACTCAGCCCATGAGGCACCACCACACCTTGTCCTAAAGAGGAAGATACAGGAAGACCACCTGAGTTAGTAAGGTAGCCTCTTAACCACACTTAGGTCAGAGCAGGTGCATTTCCCAGATTGTTTTACTTTAACCTACGCTAGGAAACAATGCTGTCCGCTGTACATACTGGGATGAACAGAATAACGAAAAGGAAATAATGGCCTCTTCCGCTTTACATCCATGTAGTGTGAGCAGATCCAGGTTGCTATCTATGGCTCCCGTCACAGGAAATCGAAAAAGATACGAGAGCTCCTGGACATGCTGAAGATGTAAGTTTCATCAGGGGTTAGGATGTACTATGGGGGGAGCAGGAAAAATCACAAACAACAGAATGTCTAGGCTTCAAATCTGGGTTTCAGAATGTGACTGCCAGGAGATCTCTGCCCACCTTTGCCTCTTCAAAGTTGAGAAGATGGCTGGCCAGTCATCAGAGAGCGGAACCACACTTGCCACAGAGGGTGGATTTGCCCAAGCCTCTGTTTAAATATGCTCCAAGAGCAACCTTTATATTATAAACATATTTAAATCCTATTATTAAAAACAACTTGCAACCATAACAATAAATATAAAGTAAATAAATGAGAGCTTAACAGCACGTGTTTAGTAGCACAATTGTCCTATGAAGAAATATTTTATTTTCTTCAGCTTAGCCTGGACAGCTCATAATTTGCAAGACAGCAATTGTGTTTTGCCAAATGAAAGGTTTTCCCCCTCAATTGTGTCTTGCCGAATGAAAGGTTTTTTCCCCTCAACTAAAAATGATTTTTACATTAGGTATGAAAAACTGTTGGGAGAAGGAAAAACTTCTCTTGCTTTTCTGCAGGGTTCCTGCTGTACATGAAGGGACCAACATGAAACAGAAGAGAGAGACACTGCTATGCTGCTCAATCCCTGATCTCTAGACAAACGGCAAGACCTAGTCACTGGAAACAAGGAAATATATCCCTAATGCACCGTGAGAAAAGCAAGGCTGCAACAATCAGGTTATTAGCTAATTATGTCACAGCCTGTAGCCCAATTGTGAATATTAATTGTACATGGAAAGATGCTTTGCCCTGGTGCTGCTCTTAGATGGAATGGGCATTCAGAGAGCCCTAGCACAAGAAAATGATCCTCCAAGCACAGTCCTATATCTGCATTTTTTGATGTTCCTTCTTCCTGCCCACAACAGTGAAGGAGTACAGGGGGGATATATGAAGGACAGTTTTGCAGATTTCTGGGGACACTGTTTCCCCGACATCAAGTAAGGTTGTGACTAGGAACCTAATGAATTAATGTGTAACATGTGAATAGGAGGGAAAATCAAGGCCCAAATGTATAGTCATGTACTAGATCCAGAAATATTGCCTATTGGCAGAAATATTGTCAAGCATGCCTCCTTGTTCCTAGGTGACATCCAATGTAAGCCCCAGCCAGCATGTTCAATGGTCAAGGATAATGGGAGCTGTAATCCAGCAAAATCTGAAAGGCCAGAGGTTGGGGGAAGCAGCTGTGCACCTCCCAGAAATTGCCAGCTTCTGATCCCCTGCCCAACTTCCACAGGGCACATAAAATATACTTAGGAAAAGTTGCATTCCTCTGTGATAAGTACTGTTTCCAATGAAAGACATCAGAATAGTCGTTCTATATTTCTTGCCAAAAAAGCTTCACCATACACAATGACTCTTTCCAAACATGTCAAGAGGCCAAATTACCCATTGCAATAGATCTTGCCTCTAAAACAGAGGTAAGTAAATCTCACAATTGTTGTCCAAGCTTTCATTCATTGTTTAACAGCTGAGCATCCAATATGGCTTTTAATAAAGGGGGAACAAAATAACAGTTTGTACTTCACAGCTAAATCTCTGCTTCAGTTACGTCCTCATCAGGGCAACAGTAAAACTCTACGAAGCAGATCTGTCCATCCTCATTCCTGATCATGTATTGCAGTGAGAGAAAGCCTCTGTTATCTGTTCGAATAGACACCTTGCAGGATAAAACTAGTGCTTTAGTTGATGGCTTGAGTAATGCAATCTTATACCTGTAAAGAAGTAGGAGGAAGACAAGATGAAGTATTAAGGCAAAATAGTTGCTAATAGGTTGCTGCCAATTATCAGACACAAACTTATTGACAAAGATGAACTTACAGAAACAGCAATGTTTAAAATTTAATGTTAAATCAACAAAGGCAACACCTTTTTAGTACGTTCTCTAAAATACTTGAGCAAATAAAAAAACCCTCTATCAAAATAATGGTGATAAGGCAAACTGTCCCAGAGGAAATATGGTCTGTGTAGATCTATTGATAATCCTATCCAGGTCTGTTAAAGATGCATTTTTATGGGTGGATAAAGAACCGGGAATTCGCCTGCTAAAAGCAGCATTGTGCGGTTACTTGTTATAATTGGGGAGCAGGGTAGAATTCACTCACTTCCTGGATGATGGGATAATAAGGTTTTGGGAATTGGCCCACGTGTTTACAGGCGACTGATATTATAATAGTGAGCAAGGCAAAGGAACTAGAGAACTTATTTATTGAAAATAATGAGCAATTTGGAAACAATTTCCCTCAAATGCAATATTTATGCATTTCCTTTTTTTGTGTGCATGTGTATTAGTATATATTTTTTAGTTTATCTGTATATCCAAGTTCAATGCTATTATAATCCATAAAAGTGTATTTGCCCCTCACACTACACCATCAACAGATTTGCTGACCTAGTTCCCTGAGTTGGGGTAAAATCCCTAATGACTGAGTACAATCAGCATGGTCAGAGGGCACGGTCAATTATCTATATTGACTTGAGATGTTTTCCCATGAGTGATCTGTCTTCAAGCAACAGTACAGTGGTACCTTGGTTTAAGAACAGTCCTGTTTACGAACAATTCGGTTTACAAACTCCGTAAAACCGGAAGTAGTGTCCCAGTTTGCGAACTTTACCTCAGTTTAAGAACGGAATCCGAACGGAAAGGCACCGGCGGCAGGAGGCCTCGATTAGGGAAAGCACACCTCGGTTTAAGAACGGACTTCTGGAACAGATTAAGTTTGTAAACCGAGGTACCACTGTATTACCTTTCTGGCAGAGTATATGCAGCTTAGTAAATGCAAATAACCAACCATCATGTGATTGGTATTTGAACTTGAGTGGTAAGAACAGGACCAGTCACACCAAATGTTTATTGTATGGGCTACTCCAGCTCACCTGTTTGTCTGGCTTTGGTTACAGTGAAAGGCTTCAATTAAGTCTGAATCTTTAGGGTAGTCTAGATGTGTGCTTCCAGCATTCCCAAAAGTGGAAAGTCTGAAAGAGAAAACGAGAAAAATGCATTTCAAACTCACAGTTAAGTTTGTGATAGATGTCAGGCAAGAACAAAGGTTTTCCAAATTAAAGTCAAATTCAAATCCCAAGACCATCCCTAGATCTCACATAAGACACGTGTCTTGTACCATGAAACTGTCAATCAATTTGGTCAGTACTGTCCATTCTAAATGGACTGTTGCTTTTCAAATTCCCAGGAAGAAATCTTCCTCCCCCCTGCTACTCTGAGATCCTTTTCAGATGCCAGGCAATGTGAATGTATATGTGCTTAACCACTGAGCTATGGCTCTGCCCTAAAGAGGGATATATTTATGCCAGAAACTTGTAGTGCATTTGAAATCACAGTCACAATACATGTAGTCATTGACTATCAAACTAGGATAGTTATTCCTAGTACCTCAAATTAGACTTTTCTAGAGATACAGTAATCTGCAATACTTCGCTGGACATATCTAGTTCGGAAAATGCCTCTCGGAGCCCCTCTGACTGCAGGATGATCTTATTCACAACATTTGTGCTGCAGAAATCAAAATCGAGGATCTCTTCTGGTTCCTGAGTGTTGATTTTGCATACAGTCACCACACCACCGTCCTCCAGGAAAAGCGTCAAAGGGTAACCATAACCCCGATAGCACATCCGGAGGGCTGTCTGAGTGCCTGCGATGAGGAAAGAAAGGTGTCTTTATTACAGTTCTTCAATTTATTACCTGTCCATCTTGTCTACATAACCCATTAAAACACACACACACACAGAGGAAATACCTGACAAAGAACTTGTCCCAAATATGGTCAAGCAGTCTAGAAGGACAGCTAGATTGATTCTGAACATCACAGATTCTTCTTGTACCGTAAATTCTTGGAAAACCCCTGCCTGTAAATTAGAAAGACAGGAAACTGAAGACAAAAAGATGAAACTGTTGCACTGTTACAAAATACAACCCCTACCACTGAATTGAACTAAGCCTTGACAAACTGGCAACATGATGTGTCCTTTTAATTCAATTCAGTGTGGCAAGGCAAAAATTAAAGAGAATAGAGCTTTATATTATAAGAGTAGTAAGAAGCAAACAGGAGATGCTAACTTGTAGAAGACATACATTGCCAGATTGGGACAACGGCATGCTTTCAAATATTCTCTCACACAGAGAGAAATGTCTCTGAGAAATAACAGCCAAGATTCTTTTAGTCTTTCATAATACTTCTTTCTCCTTTTGAAGTGTCATAAGTTATCTAACATGTTTATTTATTTCTTCCAGCTAAATTAAAGCCTATTAGTACAATAAAAGGAAAGAAACTGTTGCCATCTAACCTGAATAAAAGCATTGGCTTGCAGAGACTTGGCATTTTCCACTGTGACCTTGAGTCCATTTGCAGTTGCAAAGCAGGTGGCGTGATCTTTAAAATGAACAGCTTTCAGGATGGTGGAGAGGTTTCTGACATTGTCAAGACTTGCAACCAGCACATTCTGCTCTTCCCCTTGGGTTTCCCCTTGGGTTGAAAGGGGCATGGCTGGGATCTGTCACCCACCCAATGCCTCCTCCTCCAAGGGCAGAAACAAATCCCAAAGGAGACCTGCAGAACGCCAAATAACATTTTGAGTAAATTGAAAATGCTTCTAATGAATGCAACTTAAATATCATTAATTAACAACTGCATTAATATACTTGGGTAGGTTCTCTGTGCTGCACCAGAGAACACAACTGAATAATCCCCTAGTTTGACATTTGTGCTTGACAAGATCCAATTTTAGCTAAAAGTAACATATTTAAATCCAAACCTATTATGCCTCTGGCTGCAGTACAAGCAGAGGAACTAAACCACATCTTATCATGCTACTCTGCCTGACGTTATTCTCTATCTTACTAAAGTTGTCTGTCTACCTGTGATAAGATATTCAGCTGCTACTTTTTGAATAAACATTCACAAAATCTTTATTGGGAATATATAGGTAGATAAACTGAGGATCTTTACAATTTCATAACATGCAGATAAAAACATAGGTTGAGAAACCAGAGATAGGAGCTGAGGGAAGTCGGGGGGGGGGAATGGGAGGGTGAGCATATATTCACGGGGGGAGGGGTGGGGGACAATGTGGGTGATGTATTTTTGTTAAAATTATGGTGTTGAAATTCCTAATAAAAATATTATTTTAAAAAAGATATTCAGCTGCTACAAAACCATTAATGCCCTTTAGACATCCTCAGAGTTAGCCCCATCCTCCGACCCAACAAGCACAAAGATCCCCTTCCTTACCCCCCCCCCCGCAACGTCACACGCACTTAAGAGCAACACAGCAGGCAGAAACCCAACCGGTGCAATTTCTCCACGCGACAGGCAGAAACCCAACAGGTGCAGACTGCACTTGCACGTCCAGCACAGCAACAGCAACAACCGCGCCGCTAAACATACCTAAAACTCCCTGTCCCGCCTCAAGAGACCGGCCAATCGGCTATAGCTACGTAAGATCCGACTGCTTTACGACACGTCGTGACCACAGCTTCCGTTCTCAACTCGACCAATCGCTGGCAAGCGAAATATTAGTTGGATGCGACGATCGGTGTGAACGCCCACTAAAAGAAATCGGAACTCGCCATCAGCCATGAGCACAAGTCGGGGGATCACTCTGCAACTGATATCTCTATGGAGAGAAGCTTCCATCCTTTGCACCGTTGCAGTATAGAGATTGGAAACTGCAGAGTAGCACGCTTCATTATAGGGATATGACACTTCCTGACTCATTTAATCTTTTGTAAACAAAAGATTGTAGCAGCAAAAGGAAGGAGTTTGTCTGGTTTCGTGCCTATTGGTATCAAGCAGCTGCCTTCACGGTACAGTGGTACCTCGGGTTAAGAACTTAATTCGTTCCGTTCTTAACCTGAAACTGTTCTTAACATGAGGTACCACTTTAGCCAATGGGGCCTCCTGCTGCCGCTGCGCAATTCTGTTCTCATCCTGAAGCAAAGTTCTTAACCCGAGGTACTATTTCTGGGTTAGCGGAGTCTGTAACCTGAAGCGTCTGTAACCCGAGGTACCAGTGTACTTGCTGGTTAGAGCGTGGTGCTGATAACCGCAAAGCTGCGAGTTTAATCCTGTATTGCAGGAGGTTGGACTTGGAGGACCCTCGGGATCCCTTCCAGTTCTACAGTTGTTTGATTCTATTATTCCTGTTCAGACAAGCCTGGCCCAGATGCTTAGAAAACAGGTTATTTTAACCTCTTTTCGTTATTTTAACTTCTGTGCGTTTTTAAAGTAGGGCTGAGAATTTCCCCTCGGTTTTTACTGCTCCTTCTGTTTCTTATAAGCCGCTTTGAGGTTTGTGTTTTTTAACAATCAAACGGTGTATAAATTCGACGAAACGATACAAATAAAAAATAAACTCTCAACCCGGAAGTATGTGTGCGAGTGTTACCAGCGGAGGAGGTTCTCCTACTTCCGCTTCTCGGAAAATCCTAGAGAGGCTAAGGGGGCCGACTTCTGGTTGGTGCGACTTCCGGCGGCGCTTTGAGCGTGCGAAGATGGCTGCGGCCAAGAGGCAGCGTGGAGCTGGCAAGGGAGCCCCGACAGAGCCGAGGAGGAAACGCGCCAAGAGAGCTCCGGGGGCAGAGGGCGAGGGCCAAGGCCCGTCCGCTGAGGCCATCCCGGGGCCGGATGAGCATGTCGTCCCGGCCCCGGTCTCGCAGGTGAGGAGAGTAAGAGGGGGACCTGGACTTGGCCGCGCGGGGTGTGTGGCGGCTGTGCTCCTCGTGGAACAAAGGTGCCCCTGAGCATATAATAATTATTATTATTATTTGTTATTTATACCCCGCCCATCTGGCTGGGTTTCCCCAGCCACTCTGGGCGGCTTCCAACAAAACACTAAAATACCATAACCTATTAAACATTAAAAACTTCCCTAAACAGGGCTGCCTTCGGATGTCTTCTAAAAGTTTGGTAGTAATTTTTCTCTTTGACATCTGGTGGGAGGGTGTTCCACAGGGAGGGCGCCACTACCGAGAAGGCCCTCTGCCTGGTTCCCTGTAACCTCACTTCTCACAATGAGGGAACTGCCAGAAGGCCCTCGGCGCTGGACCTCAGTGTCCGTGCAGAACGATGAGGGTGGAGACGCTCCTTCAGGTATACTGGGCCGAGGCCGTTTAGGGCTTTAAAGGTCAGCACCAGCACTTTAAATTGTGCTCGGAAACGTACTGGGAGCCAGTGTAGGTCTTTCAAGACCAAAGTTAGGTAGTCTCGGCGGCCACCCCCAGTCACCAGTCTAGCTGCCGCATTCTGGATTAGTTGTAGGGGTCACCTTCAAAGGTAGCCCCACATAGAGTGCATTGCAGTAGTCCAAGCATATAACCAAGTGAGATAACCAGAGCATGCACCACTCTGGTGAGACAGTCCGCAAGCAGGTAGGGTCTCAGCCTGCGTACCAGATGGAGCTGGTAAACAGCTGCACTGGACACAGAATTGACCTGTGCCTCCATGGACATCTGTGAGTCCAGAATGACTCCCAGGCTGTGCACCTGGTCCTTTAGGGGCACAGTTACCCCGTACAGGACCAGCGGGTCCTCCACACCTGCCTGCCTCCTGTCCCCCAAAAACAGTACTTCTGTCTTGTCAGGATTCAACTTCAATCTGTTAGCTGCCATCCATCCCCCTCCCGCTGCTTCTTAGATAACAGGGGTCTTTTTCCACCGCAGCCCTGAGCGTGTTTGCTCGTCAGTGAGCTCCACTGAGTTCCATGGGGCTTACACACATACTTCGGTGGGACTGGGTGACATAATAATGTCACCTTGCAAATGGGGTCTTAAGTTCTCCGGTTCTTCAAGGACTCGGTTGTTCGGTACAGCGGCACTCACCCTTCGGAACTCCCCGCATATTGAGATCCATGCAGGCACCTTCGCTGCACATTCCCGTTCAGACAAGGCTTAGGGAGATGCTTAGAAATGTTTTAGCATTTAACTTTTGCATGTTTCTAAAACAGGGTTGTGAATTTTTCTTGATGAGTGGGGTATTTTTGTTTTTTTCAGTCAAGTGTATAAATTCTATGAAATGTTAAAAACAGCTGTGGTGGTCAGCTTTTAGTAGCCTGTGTGATCCTGCGAATATCAGGTCATACAATACATAGACTTTTGAAACATATTGGGAATGTAATGAATGGGCTGTTTTCTGAAGAAGAGTTTTCTGCGTTAAAATGTCTTTTGCCCAAAAATATCAGCTTCACTGCTCCCATTTTATAGATTAATAACTGCGGCTGTGACATCCCCAAAACTATCCAGCGAATTAATGATTGAGGTAATCTGTTGTTGTTTGTTCCCTTCTCATGAATACTTTTGTCTTTCAGGGCAAATGGAAAAACAAAGAGAGAGTTCTCATTTTCTCTTCCAGAGGAATCAATTTTAGGACAAGGCATCTCATGAAAGACTTAAGAACAATGATGCCCCATGCTAAAGCAGGTATTTTAAATTTTATTTTACCTGTCTTTTCTGTCTTGTTTTAACAAGTTCACTGTTGCTACTCATGTAGAACTGTCCAAAACTAAATAACAACAACGACCGGCTTATCAAAAACACTGGTATGTGAAGCAAAATGAATGTAATAATTATACTGTAGTTAAGCATTACTGTTTTCTGGCTGTCTAAAGTTTCTTACCTTAACATTTTTCTGTTGCAGTAAAAGGTGTGATAAACAGCATATTGATACAGGTCCTCTTCAGCCTAAGTAGGTGTGTGCTGCTTTTCTTCCCAATCCAGCTGTTGGGAGTGCATATATCAAGCCACTTTCAAAGGCAGAATTGTATTGGTCATCTGCTGATAGGCAGATTATTATTTTTTAAGGTAAAATTTAGTACTCTGTGCATACAACCTTAGCTGCTGGATTGGGAAGAGGAATCCTTGTGCACAGTGCTTGCTTATATCTAGTATCTGAGGTAGGGATACATGTGCAGAACTCGGCTGGACCAGAGCAACCTTTATCAGTAATTTCAAAGAGTTCTAAGAAGGTGAAAGTACTTACCAGGATGTTTTGGCGATCATTACACATACATTGTTTAATTTCATTTGTTTTCCAGACACCAAAATGGACAGGAAAGATAAGCTGTTTGTAATTAATGAGGTAAGTTATGATGCCCCTGTTTTGCCTAAGACTAACCATTATATATCCTGGCTTTGGGGATTTGAATCCAGCTATTAACCCAAAACTTGGCTCAGTGGCTGCTTTCTCAAGGTGTAACAATAAATAATTTCAGGTTTAGAACAGTGCAAGTGAACTATATCACCTTTGATTGACTCTCATGGCACTGTGCAGACAGTGGTCTTGTTCAGGCATTTCAGTAATCTGGAGCCAGAACATTGGAGCAGAGAGAGTGGGAATGACTCCATTGCCCTCCATGAGTTGGAGGGGGACTGTCTGCAGTGAGGTGTCCTTTAATTGTGTAGGCTCCTTGTGTGTTGTAGAATCCTTATTTTATGGGGTTTTGCATTGTGCTGGAGGCCTCCACACCTATAAACAGGCTTCCTGCCGCAAGCGCCTTCCAACTCGCAGCCGGCACAATTGTTCAGTTTCCAAATTGCTGTAACTATACTTAGGAAAAAGAAACTTTTGATTTACACCGGAAAAACTACAATGTTTCAGATTACAGAACTACTTTTTGTGCTTCATGCAGGTCTGCGAAATGAAAAATTGCAATAAATGCATATTTTTTGAAGCAAAGAAGAAGCAGGATCTTTATGTGTGGTGAGAAAACCTTTAAATCAGAATATATTTTCCCTGTGTGTTCTAATTTCCAACATCCGTACATAAGTGCAAAGTGGATAGGTAGGAATATTCTCATCATTTGGGTTTCCAGGCCACCATTCTTGAATGGGCTTCTGGAAACTATTTACTATTCTGTAAATTATAGGTTCTGTAAACTACTGGGGGGGATGGGAATGACAAATTATTAGGGAAAAATAATAATACAATCCACTTGTACCAGCAGTAGAAAATTGGCAAGACACACCCAGGCCCTTTTATCACTTTCTTTGTCCTCTGCCCTGTTCCATGCAACAGGTTAGGTGCTGTTCTTTACCTGACAGGCAAAAGTTTGAATATGAACAAAAATCTCTGGCTTCCTAGTCTGGAACTGTCTCCTGTGACAGTAAAGGTAAAGGGACCCCTGACCATTAGGTCCAGTCGTGGCTGACTCTGGGGTTGCGGCGCTCATCTCGCTTTATTGGCCGAGGGAGCCGGCGTACAGCTTCCGAGTCATGTGGCCAGCATGACTAAGCCGCTTCTGGCGAACCAGAGCAGCACATGGAAACTCCGTTTACCTTCCCACCGGAGTGGTACCTATTTATCTACTTGCACTTTGACGTGCTTTCGAACTGCTAGGTGGGCAGGAGCTGGGACCGAACAACGGGAGCTCACCCCGTCACAGGGAT